AAAAATGTACTGTGCATAAACAGTGGATTCTGTAAATAAAGTTCTTTCTCACCAGGGTGGTAGCTAACAGTTCTGAAAACCCACAGCTGTAATCTGGAATGGAGTAATGAATGACATAAATGGCAGGGGGTAGGAGCCAGGTTTCTCACTGTTGGAGTGAGAAGTTACAGATCAGCAAAGGGAGAAGATCACAAAGTCCATGTGATGATGGACTGGGTTGGAGACATCAGTGCAAACTCATCTTTAGCCTTAATATAGATACAGACAGTGCCACATAGAAATCTTTACAATTATGTGTGTATACATAGGTTGGAATATATACACATATTTCCTTGCATTGTCCGCTGAGCACATTTAGCTCCCACATGTAAGACTTTAATACCATTCCCTAATAGAAGGGACCAGGGATTCTTGAAGAAAGGGACACTGGAGCAGGGAAGGGTAGAACAGAGGGAACCTGGATAAATTATAAAGTTTAGTTAACAATAACATATCAATATTTTTTCATTAATTGCAACAATTCTGTAGAAAACTAGAAGGAGAGTAGAAATTAAAGGTCAAATAAGAGAAACCTATTGCATCAGACTAGAAACCTAGAGAAAATGGGTTATTTCTTAGTAAAAATACACATTAACAAAATTGACACTAAAATAAGGGGGGAAAAACAAGCACACTTAATTAGCCATCGAGGGACCTCTTCCTCCTGCTTCTCCTTTCTCCTCTCACTCTTCTGGGGTTTTCCTCTCCCAGGACAGAGAAGGAACAGGGACAGAGCTGTTCTGGAGCTCCTCTGAGCCCTGACCCCACCCACTATCTTTGTCTCCCCAGACATGCCTGGCCCAGTGAGGACACCATGAATAGGAAGTCTCAGGGATTGTTGATTCTGATGTGTTGGCTAGGACTTTTTGGATTGCAAAGGACTGGACACACTTACTAAAGTAAAATAAATTAATATTTTTAAATGGTGGTAAATAAACTAATACTTGCAAGCAGCAAGTTAAGAGCGGGTTTGAATCTGACAGGCCCAGGGGCTCACACTCTCACAATATGACCCGGACCCTCTCCAACCCTCCATCCTGCTAAGTGCCTTTGGGGTAGCCCCATTCATAGGCACAGTGTCTCTCGCTGCATCTGGGGCCTCCAGCAATTCCAAGCTGACACTCACTGCCCATTCTCCCAGAAAGGGTTTCTCTTTCTCTTGGATTCCATGAAGAGTTATGGCTTTAGCCGTGTCTTTAGCCTGAATTGGGTCACATTCTCATCCTTGAAGCCATCAGAGCATCCAGAGAATGGAGCATGGGGTTGGCTATATTTGGATCATATTCCCATCTTCAAGGTAGGTAGAACATGGGAGCTGCCTTCTGGAACTGTTTCTATGGGGGGGCAGGTGAGACGTAGTTCCCAGATGAAAGCTGAGGTGTTGGACTTGGGCATGAGAACAGATGCTGGGTTAGGAAAGCAGCAGATTCTGCATCACTGATGGCCAACTGTACAGCTGTGGAATCTGAAGCCCAAGGAAGGGTTCACTTAGAGTGGGGGGCTACAGCCTCCTATCCAGTACTCTTGCCATTCTCACACAATGGCAAGAAGCTCTTCCAACTGCTGAAATGGCAACTTTGCTGTTGATGGGAAACTCAAGGCTCCTGCCTTGGGCATTGAGTACTCACATCTCAGAGACTAGAAGCCACACAGACCTCACTCATGACCCTGAGAGAAAGGAGACCAGGAGACACACCTGTCCCCTGCCCCCAATACCACAGTAATCACTCATCCCCAAAGAGCAAACTGGTTCATTTTCCACTCTCTTCTCTCTCCTTTACAAAGAACAGAGACCAAATACAAGGATGGTAAAGAAGCTACTGCTCAATGAAGCAGTGAGAAGCTCTAGGATGATTCCACAGCACAGAATCCACACTTGGCAGGCTTTTCAAAGGCCACAGACCCTGGGCCATGCATGCAGCTCTCTGAAACCATGCAGCATCAGTGAGAAACTGCCTACTAGGAGACACAGTCGCTCCTGTATCCTTTATTCTTAGCGAGTATGCACGTCAAAGGTTTACATTACAACCAGGAGGCCAAAGGACTGCAGGACCGGTCTGCTGTAAGCCTCTTGTTGCTAGGGCCACATTCTGTGTTTGGAGGGTCATTATCTCTATTGGCAGACTAGGAGGCACTTGTCTCAATCACACAGAAGTTGGGAATGGAAATATCCCAAAGGGCTGACTACACTGTCCATGGACCTGTAAAACTGCCAGGAGCACAGTCAGCTCATGGCCATGGGGGTTGTGGAGTGGGTACCCAGACGGGACTGAGCTGGAGGACCACAGAATGCCTGCCTGGATGAATGAAGGTCAAGGGCTGTCTATCTGAGACCTGATTGTCCACTGCTGATCACTGGGATGAGATGAAGGATCCAGCTGGTGCCAGGAGGTCTCTACCAGCCCCAAAGAAGACTGCACATGGGGGCTGGTGGGCCGCTGCAACCACACCTGTATAAATCCACACATGTCTACTGAGTGCCCTTGTGGGTCAGGGCTGTGCTGGAATCTGGGGCTGCCCAGGCAGAGTGGGGCCAGCAGCACCCTTCCCAGGAAGGTGGATGGAAGGGACCTACACAAACTCTGAGGCCATCCACAACCCTTGACTGGGGTTGAGTTGGATTTGAAATAGTGGCCAGAAATATATTTCATTCTTCTTTTAGAGCCCAATACTGAGCGGCAAAAAAACCAATGCTCTAGCTCAACCTCTAAAGCAAATGTGACCACAGGTGAGTCCTTTCCATTCTAGAGGGCCATAGAGATAGAGGAGATATAGAAGATAGGAAAGAGGGTCACTTAAAAAAAAAAACAAACCCTGGCCCTGACCCTGGCCCTGATGCAGAACATGAACCTGACCCAAACCTAGACCCAGAGATCTCAAGCCTGGCACTGACCCCCCCCCATAACCCTAACCCTAAACCCTAACCAGTTCTTTTGAGATAGCAATGCTGTTAATGTAACTTTTAAGTTTTGCTCTTTTGCAAAAAGTTCATCAGCTATTTCATGTTTATACTTGCACTGTATCTTCCCAAATGCACTCGGTTAATTCTTTCTGTGTGCTCTTGTGGTGTTTACTATTCTGCTATCATGGCTGACTTAGGCAGAAATGTCCAGGAGGCATGTATGATTCTGGGCTTACCTTTGTAGAGGGAACCTTTCTCCCCTAAGTCAGAATAAGTGCCGATAAATATTTCAGTTTGCTACTTTCAGAGTGGAGTCTTAGTTTAGAACTGCCATACATGGGTGCCTGGGTGGCTCAGTCGATTAAGCGTCTGACTTCAGCTCAGGTCATGATCTCACAGCTCGTGGGTTCAAACCCCACGTTGGGCTCTGTGCTGACAGCTAGCTCAGAGCCTGGAGCTTGTCTTTGGATTCTGTATCTCTCTCTCTCTCTCTCTCTCTCTCTCCCCCCCCCTCCCCTGCTTGTGCTGTCTCTCTCTGGCTCTCAAAAATAAATTTTAAAAAACATTAAAAAAAGAACCGCCATACAATTTGGAATTGTTATGTTACTTATTCTGTTTGTATAATAATTTTTAGTTTTTCATTTTGTTGCCTGTCAAACTTTCAAAAATGTTGTATTGAATAAGGTGATGCTGGCTCTATACTTCAAGATGATTTCTAATACTTATGATCTTGATAAATATGTACTATAGATGGGAAGTGCCTGAGCGTTCTCCCTCCTGACCTTCCTTATTACTCAAATGTGGTCTTAAGTGTTTTCCAACTATGATGCACTTTCCCTCTGATGGATATACTATGACAACCAGAAAAGATCCTTCCTGGCACTAAGGGACAAAACCACTAAATGTGGAAAATGCTGACTCTCAATCAGCAATGCTTTCAAAGATTTTGATCAAGAGTAGGATGCTACTTTAGCTATTACTTTACCAAGGAGCAGAACTACTTTAAAGTCAAATAACAAAAGTTATTTCATTTTTGATGATCAAATGAAATAACTTAAAGGGCTTGACCTAGTGCATAGCAGGTGATAAGCCAGGTAACCCCCAACTGTTGTTTAGCAGTTATTATTAACACTCATGATGAGTGAGCACTGGTGAGAAGGTGGTAGAAACCTACAGTCATCAGAGCTTGAGGTGACAGACTTGTTTTAGAGGCATCACATGTAAGGCCTGGAGAAACAACCTGAATTCCGCCTTGGGCATGGGAATGGGGTGTGGGTACATGCAACTTATCCAGGCAAGTTCTCAGAAAGGTTAGGGTGTGAGGAGAGAGGGAGAAGGCAACAGGGATGCCATCCCAGCTGGAGAGTAGCTTCACCCTGATTGATACCAGTGGAGCTGCGAGCACAGACTGCACCAGAGTCAATCTCCTCTGAGACACAGAGGAGATTGCAACCTCAGTCAGTCACGAGGGGGGGGGGGGGCGGAGTGGTAACCTATGTAGCTCAACAGCTCCCAGTGGCCGAGGGCGATTCTCCAGTGGGGGCAGCTGTGAGCTACTGGCCCCCAGCACACACAGAAGCCTAGAACAAAGGCACCATCCAGTAAGGGGTTTGGACGGGCCTCAACAGTGTCCTGGAGTCTAATCCGCACAGGGACACCCTAGTCCAGGAAGTCGGCTTTACCTTCTCTAGGTCACTTAGTGATGTAATGGCGGCCCAACTTGAAGCCCAGCTCAGAGAAGGCGCCCGCTGCTCAGACCTGCCCAAGAAAGGGAAGGGTTCTGACAGCGAAGGCACCTGGCTCAGAAGGCTGATGTGACACACGCGAAAGCTCCTGGCAGGAGGAAAGGCACACATAGGAGACACACCTTTCCCACCGGAAGCACACCCAACACTTCCGTCTGGAACGCGGGGCGGGGCCTCGCGGGCGGAAGGGAATGCGCAAGGGCGTGCTCCGGAAGGACTCGCAAGAGGACTCTGGGATTACCAGCACCCGGAAGCGCCCTTCCCTTATGCGTATTTCTGGCGCGCCGGCTGACGTAGTGACACTACGAGTCGGAGCCTGTTATGCGTGCCGGTTCACGCTTGTTCAGGGGCTGCTCCCGGAAGCAGCTGAGGCTGAACGAGACGTGTACTGGGGCGAAGGAGCACGGATCCTGGCCCTTCGGGTGGGCACCATGCGGCTGGGCTCCGGGACCTTTGCCGCCTGCTGCGTAGTGATCGAGGTGCTCGGGGTCGCGCTCTTCCTTCGGGGATTCTTCCCGGCCCCGGTTCGTTCCTCTTCTAGGACGGAGCACGAAGCAGAGCCCCCAGCGCCTGAACCCTCTGCTGGTACGGACCCTTCCCCGGCCGTCTCTGCTCCCCTGCCCCTGATTTTCGCCAGAGGATCCTTCTTATGAGCCGCGTCTCTTGGATTTCTCGGGGCTCCCCAGTGCTCGTGTTTTTCATTCTGGTCCCCACACCCAGGAGCCCCCGTTTTACCGCCCCAGCCTCTTTCTGGATCTCTCTGTGGCAACCACTGCGACCAGCCCACTTCGACCCTCCCCTCTCCCTGGTCGCCGCAAAGAAAGCTCTCCACACCCTGGCTCTTGTCTCCCCTCCCCCCGCCAGATCTGCTCATCCAGTTATCACCCCCGCCCCCTTCCCTGGACCGGCCTTTGGGTCACTCCCTTTTCTAGGCACCTTTTTTGCTTAAAAGTAGTTGCTGACCCCTCACGGTTTCTTCTATGACATTCTAAGAGCTGCTTCCCCCCCCCCCCCCCCCCCCCCCCCCCCCCCCCCCCCCCCCCCCCCCCCGCCAGTAGCCCTCACCTACCTAGCAGCACACACTAAGTAAAGGCTCTCCCGCTTTGGACCAGGTCCATACAATAGCAGCCACTGACCACGTAAACACAATTTGTAAATGCTTGCATATCTCCTACTGCAGCACTGTATTTGGATCAGTCTCTCTAAATGTGCAGTTTTCAGGACCTTCACTAAGGGACTCCCCTTTCCCAGTATTCACCATGCAGAGGGCAATTTACTGCTTAATTCTGGGGCTCCCTCAGTTTACTTGTCATCCCTCGCACTGTCTACCAGTAATAGGTCCTTTTCTTTGGGTTGAGGTAGGTAGATATGACAATATATATGCTGGAGAAGTAGATCAAAAGTAGATTATAAGGTGCTTGGGTGATAAATACAGTTTAAAATTCAATTTCGTTGTCTCTTTCAAACATTTTTAGGAGCCAGTTCCAACTGGACCAAGCTCCCACCACCCCTCTTCAGTAAAGTTGTTATTATGCTGATAGATGCCTTGAGAGATGATTTTGTGTTTGGGTCAAAGGGTGTGAAATTTATGCCGTACACAACTTATCTTGTGGAAAAAGGAGCATCTCACAGTTTTGTGGCTGAAGCAAAGCCACCTACAGTTACTATGCCTCGAATCAAGGTAAATACTTTCTTTGACTTAATGTGTTATATATGGTTTGGTCTTTGGGAAGTGTGAAGGGGCTCTCTGTACTCTTTTACTTGGAGTCCCAAATTTTACTAAGTAGAAGTTAGTTTAGTGTTGTCGACCTGGCTGGGGCAATAAAATGCTGAAGAAGCTTAACAGGGTAGGCTAGAACTGAGACCCGTGATTTATGCCCCCTGTCAAGTAGCCAAAGTTCACACTTTATTGAAAGCATAAAGTATTTAGAGCCAGATCATTCAGGTCAGCCTGATCCAGGAGCTAGTGTCATTGCTAACCTGGTCTCTTTAATTATCAGTGGGTCACTTACATTCCAGAAAGGAGCCTTTAGGGTTAATCCAGTTCGTTCTCTTGACTTTATAGATGAGAAAGCAAACTCAGATAAGCTAAATGACTTGTAGACAATTGTGGTATGCCCAGTCGTCAAACCTGCATGATTTGGCCTCCACTATTATCACTGATTCTAGAGTATAACCCACTTTCAGGTATTCAGCCCAGTAAGTATGGCTTTGAAGCACTTAGTGCTTTACCCAAGCACTATGACTAAAACAAAACAAAACAAAACAAAATACCCACCTTTATTGATTGACTCAAGAACTGTTTATTAAGCAACTACTATTTGTCGGTATTGTAATGGGTATGCAATTGGGGGAAAATAGTATCTGCCTTCATGGAGCTTTTAGTCACTTGGGCCATTAAACAAATGAGTAGACAAACTAATGTTCAGTTTTAAAGTGTGATTAATGCATGATGAGAAAGAAAAGGATGTGATGCTCATTCCTGGGTAGGTTGGGAGGGGCCTCAATTTAGATTGAGGGTCAGAAGAGCCTATCTGAGGAAATTACATTCAGGTTTCCACTGAGGATGAGTGAAGAGGAGGCAGCAGAAAGGGACAGAGGAGCTTAAAAGTTTGTGACTATGTTGCTAGTATGGTATAAAAGTCCCTAGCTAAGTCTTATATCTGTGGCTGATCATGTGACACCTCAGTATTTGATGAGAAGGAGCGACTTCTTGATTCAAAGCTTAGGGGCAGCAGTTAGTAGGTACTTAGTAACTGTTTACTGGGTGAATAAAGCAGTCTGGGATTGTAAGGATTAATAGTGCATCTTTTTTTAAATGTTTTTTATTTTTTTATTTCTAGGAGAGAGAGAGAGAGAGACAGCGTGAGCAGGGGACAGTCAGAGAGAGAGGGAGTGACAGACTCTGAAACAGGCTCCAGGTTCTGAGCTGGCAGTCAGCACAGATCCTGATGCGGGGCTCGAACCCACGAACCGCGAGATCATGACCTAAGCGAAAGTCGGACGCTTAACCGACTAAGCCACCCAGGCGCCCCAATAGCGCATCTTTCATTGACTCTTTTTCTTGAGTTTCCCACTCTCTGCTACCTTTGGATGTAGTGTGTCTTTCATTCAGGAATATTTATTGAGCATCTTCTGTGTACTACACACTGTTTTAGATAAGAGGGATTCAGTGAAGAACAAGACAGCAAGTGTCCTATCCTCATGGAGCTTAATTTCTGATTGAGGGGACAGAAAATATGTAAGTATACAAATAAATAATCAAGAGAGTTTCAGAAAGTGATAAGTGCTATGGAGGAAATCAGGGAGGAGAACATGACGGAGTGATGAGGGGTGGAAGGTGGGGAGCACCTTTAGTCAAGAAGCTCAGGATGGTCTTTCAGGAGCACTCCTTCTGCTGAGACCAGTCTTGTGAAGCTGGAAGAAAAGCATCCAGGCTCCTTACCATCAGGAGCACTATCTTCTTTATCTGTTCTATCAAAAATGTGGAAGGAACCCGTTCCTCCTTCATTCTGGTAAGAAAAGTATTACTAGGAATCTAGTAAGGAGCAGGTTTGTAAGAAAATATGTAAGTGAGTGTGCAGGCTCCAGGCTGCGTGCAGACCTGTATGTTGGCCACTGTGGTTCTTAGGGCCTCCCATCTCCAACCCATTTGTGTCATTTCATGAAACCGATGTTTTGTTTCATTTTGTTTATTTTGTTTTCAGTCCTTTGCTGGTTCTTGCTCCTCATTCCTCATCAAGGAGGAGTTAGAACAGGAAACCCATACTGGAGTTAGGGTTACATAGCTCTAGAATTTGGTAGGATTGGGTAGTGTTGACTAAGGAGGGTGTCCCCTGCCCTGCCTCCAGTTAGGGAAGGGACTTCATTAGTCTCTAGGTGTTGATGCAGTTATCACAAAATGCTGACCTTCGTGACTCAAGACTAATGCCCCTCATAGCATTTTCTCATGTTAACTAATATGTGACTGCTTTTCCTTTCTTCAGGGAATTTGTAGTCACAATAAGGAACAGGTACTGAACTGACTGCAGTGAGCTCAGAGCACAGGCATTATCTCTTATACTGTCACAACAGCCCTATGATAGGCTCCGTGAGGCAGGCACTGCCATCTTCTCCATTTTCCAGATGAGGAAACAGGCTTGAAGTGGTAAAACCACACAGCTGACATCAGAAACCAAGCCTCAGCCTATGTGTGTATGGTTCCAGAGCCTCTGGTGGTGACAGCAAGTTTACACAGCAGTATTGCCGAATAGGGTGAGGAGGCCACATCCTCCTCCAGTAGTCTCTGCAGAGCCCTCCTTCTCGGAAGGCAAGAAACCACTATTCCCACGGCCACAGCAACCACAGGAAGACCTCCAAGGTGATGGCAGGCTTGGGCTCTCACTTAGACTTCCCAGGGCTCCTAGCTGCCTGCATGCTTCCTGGGGTGAAGGGTACTAAGTAGTCCCTGCCCTCTTTGAAAATGTCAGTGGAAACCCAGCAAGTGTCTTATAAAAACCCTTGGAAAAAAAAGATGGACAGAGTAGAACGCATGGAAACAGAAAACCTTTATGTGGTGGAAGACACTATAAGTCAACTGACAAATGATAAACTGGAAAAAGTATTTACAGTTGAAATCACAAACAAGATGTTAAGCCCATGATGTGTAAAGAGAATCTGACCAGGGACAACAATTCAGTGGCAAAGGACATAAAGAACTCCACAAAGGAAGACACTGAAATGGCAAGTAAACAAAGGAAAAGATTCTTTACTAGTAATCAGGGCAGGTGAGCTAAAGCAGTCTGTAAGCCCAATCTCTGTCTATCACACTGTAAAACTTTAAAGATTGATGATGACCTCTTCTTCACATGAAATGAAGCGGACAGGTACTCTAACACTGAGCCAGCCCCTGCACTGGCTGTCCAAACAAAACAGGTCATGGTGCTCTTCTTCTTTTAGACCCTGCACTGGCTTATACTCTAGGTACTAACCCAGGCCTCAAGGCTGCATGGTCCTGTCCCGTTTACCTCTCCACCCTCATCTGAGCTGCCTTCCCTCTTCCTGTGTCTTTCATCCACATGGATCACTGTAGCTCGGTACTCAAAGTGTGCTGCCCTCTTTCAACCACAGGACCTTCACAGTTGCTGTGTTCCCCTTGGAGAGCCTCACCTCCCTTCTCCTCCCCTCGACAACATGTCAGCCTTCAGATCTCAGATGGCACTTCCATTGGAAGCTTTTTATTTTATTTTATTTTATTTTTTTTAAATTTTTTAATGTTTTTATTTATTTCTATGAGAGAGAGAGAGAGACAGCATGAGCAGGGGAGGGTCAGAGAGAGAGGGAGTCACAGACTGAAACAGGCTCCAGACTCTGAGCTGGCAGTCAGCACAGAGCCCGACGCGGGGCTCGAACCCACGAACCGCGAGATCATGACCTAAGCGAAAGTCGGACGCTTAACCGACTAAGCCACCCAGGCGCCCCGCATTGGAAGCTTTTTAAAATAAATGTGCATTAAAATGTTCTTGGTCCAAATACTGGATTACTTTGTAGGTGCTAAAAAAAATTTTTTTTAACTAAGTAGTTGTGTGTTTTCTGGGGAAAGAAGTTCATGATATGTTAGTATTTGAAAAACAAAACCAAGTTGTGGGATTATTTATATAGTCTGTTACCATTTAGGTAAAGAAAAATATGTATCTTTGTGATTACACACATACAGAAAAAAATATGAAATGATACTCCCCAAAAGTAACTGGTTACCTAGAAGTAGTAGAATTTCAGGGAGAGAAAGAGACTCACATTAAAAAAAAGTAATTTCATTGAGATAGAATTTTCATATAATGCAGCACATTTTATGTGCACAGTTTGGTGAGATCTAACAAATGTGGTATATCCACGCAACCGCTACCACAACCCTGGATTTTTCCTACCCCAGGAGTGGTGGTTGTTGCTGTCGTTTTGTTGGTTTGTCAGTGCAGTAACGTGCCTAAACTCTCTGTAGAGTCTGTCTCCCCTGGAGTGCACGGTGGCTGGGAGCTCTTTTTTGTTCTAAATATCTTGTTTTTATCTTTTAGGCTGTTGTGAAAGGTCACCCCTTGGTCAGCACAGTTAGTGGTTAGCCGCTGATTGGTCAGAGGTTGTGCTTAAGCGCATTATGCAGCGGGCCTTCCACCCCTTTCCAGGGCTCTGTGTATGGTTTGTTCTCACTGTTCAGGCACCTTAAAAGCCTGCCTTCTCACTTTCTGTGTGAGCAGGGCAGAAGGCCCTGGAAGGAACCGGTAACTAGCACAGTCTGATCTCTCCTGAGTGCACACTCAGCCCCGTGTGTGCATCCAGATTCCAGGAATATGTGGGAGCTTACAGAAATGTGATATGGCTGTCTTCTTCCCCGGATGCCATTTTTAAATGTTGGGCCTTTCTCTTACCACAAACAGCACTGACCCCTCGGGCAGCTGTAATGCTGGCCTTCTTGCTTCCAACACATCACTGGCACGGGGCTTCTCTGAGCAGCTCTGGGTCAGACGGACCCTCCAGGTCCCCATGGCCACTATATCGCAGGGGTAGGAGAAGGGGGGCAGTCCATGTGAAACCAGCACAGGGACTCACAGCTCTTCCTGAGATTCAGCAGTTTGTCTTAGATAAGAATTTCTCAATTTGTTGTGTATCTTTGATGAGTTTTCAAAGTCTGGAAGGGGTTGCTTTTGGCAGTTGTGACCCATTTATCATTGCTTTTATGGGAGAGGATATGCCAAGCTCCTCTGGCATTCCAGAAGTTAGGTTAATTCATAGTCGCATTTTTGGCTGTTAAAGAAGTCCTAGAAAAATAAGTGTGCCTGTTGGCACTGTCCAGATTTCTGTTTATTTTCAGTGCGCAGGTCCCTGGATGCCAGTGTCCTGGGTTGTTGGATAACTCCCAATCACAGGAGACACATGACCTATTACAATGGCCTCTTAGACTCTGTGCTAAAATCAGGGAGGTTGTTGACATAAGTCTACATCAGAAAGATATTGGGGATATGACACACTCACCCTTTCCTTCTAGAAATTACAGTCGGGTGTGTGTGTGTGTGTGTGTGTGTGTGTGTGTGTGTGTGTGTGGAGCAGGGGTGTCCCGCCAGCATGCTGGGCCAGTTTACTATGGGAATTCCTGAGAGTTCTTGCTCAGAGACCGCTTCCCTTCCAGGGTGCGTGAGAAGCTGCTGGTCCACTCAAGATGGACGTTAGAATTGCTGTGTTGTAAGACCAGTGCATGGAGTTTACTCATCACACAGAGCAGGTTTGAAGCTTAGGTGAGGACCTGACAGGTGGTTGACTATATAGATGTGTGTTTTCGATGCATCCCACACTTGGCCATTTGCTTCAGTTGCCGTAACACGGCTTTTCTGTCCACCACCATCATCCAGCTGCCCACAGCCTCCTCCTCCATCCTCCCACTGGCTGAAATACAATGAAGTCTTTGTGATCAAGTTTGCTAGTTTCGCCAGAACCTGTGTGCAGCTCTCCACTTTGTCTTAACACTGACCCAGCCTCCAGTATTGAAGATGCCCTAGTTTCATGCTTTCTTCTTTCATCCGTAAAATGATTTTTGGCACCCCTTCCCTCACAGTGCTTAGATTCCATGGTCTAATTTCTGGAATGTTTCCTCCTGCAGGCACTGCTGACAGGGAGCCTCCCTGGCTTCATCGATGTTGTCAGGAACCTCAATTCCCCTGTACTGCTGGAAGACAACGTGATCACACAGGCAAAAGCAGCTGGGAAAAGAATGATCCTTTATGGAGATGAAACATGGGTGAAATTATTCCCAAAACATTTTGTGGAATATGATGGAACAACCTCATTTTTTGTGTCAGATTACACAGAGGTCAGTTTTTAAAACAAGGAAATTGTGTCGTGGTAGATGGAGTCTGATACCCTCTTAGAGGCAACGTTGTTTTGTATGTGACTTTCATTAGTATATTGGGAGTAGTATGGAGAGGTTGTAAAAAGTGTTCATTCATTCACATAATCCGCTACAACCCAGGGACATGAACCCTGATGCAGATGTGAGCAAAATTCTCTTAGAACAGCTGAGCACCTGTTGATGGGGTACAGAGGATCAGGAAGGGTTTCCCAGCCAGGAGCCATTTAAGCTGAGTTTTGGGAAGTGAGTGGGTACCTCCCAAGTGGACAGAATGGTGGTGGCAGCATCTGTACGAGGCAGAGCCTGAGGACTCCATCGACCCCTGGGATCCTTGAGGCTGTTAGTCCTATTAGTGCGGTGACATCCCCACTGGAGATTGGGAAGACAGATGGTGAGCTGGGCGGAGCCTGGTCCTGAGGGGCATCTCCCTGTGCTGGAAGTGCAGTCTCCAACAAGAAAAAGGGCTTGATTAGACCCATAGTTAGAAAGCCCACCCTGGCTTAGACCCTGGATATCTCAGTCAGTTGAACATCCAACTCTTGATTTCAGCTCAGGTCATGGTTCCAGGATGGTGGGATTGAGCCCTGTGTGAGGCTCTGTGCTGAGTGTGGAACCTACTGGAGATTCTCTTTCTCTCTCTCCTCCTCCATCCCTCCCCCTCCCCCTATCCCCCTCTCTCCCCTCCTCCCTCTCCCTCTCCCCACCCCATCCTCCCTTTCTCCCTCTGACCCTCTCCCCACCTTCGTGTGCTCTCTCTAAAATTGAAAAAAAAGAGTCCCCATAGAGCAGAGACACACTGGCAGCAGCTCAGTTTGCCGGGCTTCCCGGAGCATCTGCGGTCTTGCTTACGGTGATATCCTCTCCTGAAGTTGGCATCTGTAGATGAAGCAGTTACTGAGTTTCCTTGTCCTCTGTCTCATCAGTTAGAGACCCTTCCCTTTCTAGTGACTTTTCAGTGGCGGGGGGGGGGGGGGGGGGGGGGGGGGGGGGGCCAGCTGAGTGGTCAGGGCTGAACAGGCTCACGACTGTCAGCAGCCGCTTGACTACTAGTTGCTGAGAGCTGTGTCTCTTTCCTCTCAGAACAGCCTTCGCATAGGACTCACTTCGATGCCCTCAACTTCACCCCACAGGTCCCCTCAACTCTGGCGCCCGTGTGACCTGGTTTTGTGCTTGGTGTTAGTTAACTCCCAGTAGGGATCCTGCAGAATGTTTTTGTGAGAATAATAACTTCTCATTGAAATTATCATGTTCTGTCTGTAACTTAGAAATGTGAAACAGTATTAGTGAAAGCTTAATCTAATGCTAATATTTGTTTAATTTTTTTTATGACAGGTTTTTCTGTTTGTTATTTGGGTTTTTTTTTTCTCTTTTCGGACTCTGAGACCAGTTACCTAAAATAAATGCTTAGATTTAAAAGGACTGTATCACTTTTCCTTGGAGAGTGAAGATCAAGGGAAATGAGGAAAGTTATTTATACATACTTTCTCCCTTTACAGGTGGATAATAATGTTACGAGGCATTTGGATAAAGTGTTAAAAAGAGGGGATTGGGATGTGTTAATCCTCCACTACCTTGGGCTGGACCACATCGGCCACATTTCTGGGCCCGGCAGCCCCCTGATCGGGCGCAAACTCAGCGAGATGGACAACATCCTGATGAAGATCCACACCTCGCTGCTGTCCGAGGTGAGGCTCACTTTCGTGCACTGTGGAGCACGGCAGTCACTGTGCCAGCGTCTCCTAGGAGAAACCAAGTTCCTGAAGTGGACTTGGGACCTACGTGAATGCCACACCTACCCACGTTCAGTTCACCTGTAAGCACTCAGCACAGGCTCAGCCTCCAGCAGCTCTGATTTTGTCTACCATTCCCCCCCCTTATCCAGCTACTCATTCCAGAATGCCTTCTCTATCACTGTTCCTGTCTGGTTATCTATGGAGTGTATACTCTTGCCAGGAAGAACAAACAAGGGCATAATAAATGAGGGCATAAGTATACTGGAGATGAGAACAGCATCTGAGAGAGAGGTCGTGACTTTAAATAGTGTGGTGAGAGCGGCTCTCCTTTGGGATGTGTGAGATGTGAGCAGAGCCTTGGAGGGAGGGGCGGATACGCCTTCTGTGAAGGTGCTTTCCGGGTGAAGAAGCAGCAAGGGTGAGGCAGAGCCTGCTGGGTAAATCCAAGAGCAGCAAAGGCCCTTTGCTGGAAACCTGGGACCAAGGGGCAACCCCACTGGACACATGAGGAGACAGGCATGACAAGGAAGGCACCTTGGCTCTCGCAGCTCGGCAGTGATAAAAACAGACCGAGCTCAAATCTTCTGCTCTCAGAGGCCCTAAATATGACCCTCCTGGGCTCTGTGACCTCCATGTGATTCTGTTTGTTTTATTTATGACATTTTTTGACTTTGACCTTTTGATCTTGTAAGCTCATAGGTTAAAAAAAAAAAAAGTCTAACATGTTTAATAAGAGCTACCATTTATAAAGTACAGCTAAAATCTAAAGCTTTTCCTTAACAAGATCATGTTTTCTCCTCAGTCTGAATGCAACTGAAATATTTTCCCTTTGCATTGTAGAAAAGAGAGAATCTTTTACCCAATTTGCTGGTTCTTTGTGGTGATCATGGCATGTCGGAAACAGGAAGTCATGGCGCCTCTTCCATGGAGGAAGTTAACACCCCTCTGATCTTAATCAGTTCTGCATTTGAAAGAAAACCTGGTGAGGATTTAGGAATGTTTACTATTTTAATTTTTTTTTCTTTTTTTTTTTTAGTATCTATTTTTAAGAGAGAGAACACACGTGGACAGAAGGGTGGGGAGAGGGGACAGAGGATCCAAGCAGGCCCCATGCTGATAGCAGAGAGCCCACTGCGGGGCTTGAACTCTTGAACCGTGAGATCATGACCTGAGCTGAAGTTGAACACTTAACCAACCCCCACCCCGTGCCAGTACTCCCCTTATGCAACTGCTGATCTTTTTTCCACCTCTATAGATTTGCCCCTTCTGGACATTCATGTACATGGACCCTGTAGTACTGGGCCTTGTGTGGCTGGCTGCTTACAATTGAGCATAATGTTTTCAAGGTTCTTCCACATTGTAGCGGGTATCAGGACTTTAATCCTCTGTTTGGCTGGACTGTTGTGTGGATAGACGACATTGTGTATCCATTCGTTAGTTGATGGATACATGGCTTGTTTCCACTTTTCAGCTGTTATGAATAATGTTACTGTGAACATTTGGAAAGAAGTTGTGTGGACAGATGTTTTCATATGGTATTGTTTTCTTTTGCCAATACAGCTTTGTCCCTACATCCCTCCTTTGTGCTATTATTGTCAAATATATTATATTTCTACATGTTACAAACTGAAGACATAACTATGTATGTGTTTTATATAATAGTTTTTTTTAATCAGTAAGAAAAGAAATATGTTTTTTTTTAAAATTTTTTTGTGTTTATTATTGAGACAGAGAGAAACAGAGCATGAGTAGGGGAGGTGCAGAGAGAGGGAGACACAGAATCAGGAACAGGCTCCAGGCTTTGAGCTCCCAGCACAGAGCCCGACGTGACGCGGGGCTCAAACCCACAAACCTCAAGATCATGACCTGAGTCGAAGTGGAACACTTAACCGACTGAGCCACCCAGGCGCCCCAAGAAATATGTTTTTATGTGTTTTGTAATTGTATAGTTACTTTTGCTGATGCTCTTTGCTTCTTTTATGGATCAGAATGAACTCTGGAGTCACTTGCTTTCAGTTTTGTTTTGTTTTTTTAGTGTTTGTTTATTTTTTAGGGGGGAAGGGAAAGACAGAACATGAGTGGGGCACGGGCAGAGAGAGGGAGACACAGAATCTGAAGTAGGCTCAAGGCTCAAGCAGGCTGAGCTGTCAGCGCAGATCCTGACGCAGGGCTCGAACTCATGAATGGTGGGATCATGACCTGAACTGAAGTCAGATACTTAACTGACTGAGCCACCCAGGCACCCCTAGTATTTCTTATAATGCAGGTTTGCTAGCAATGAATAGTTTCTTTTTTATTTTGTTTTTTTGTTTTTACCCCGGGATGTCTTTATGTTGCCTTCATTTTTGAAAGATAGTTTTGTTGGATATAAGACTTTTAGCTGACCATTCTTTTCTCTTTCAGTACTTTGAGTATGCTGTCTCACTGCCTTCTGGCCTCCATGGTTTCAGATGAGACATCATCCCAGTCTACCAGGGCTTCCTTTCTCTTGTCTTTCAGCACTTGTATTTTTTTTTTAATTTTTTTAATGTTTAGTTATTTTTAAGGGAGAGAGAGAGCAAGAGAGAAAGCAGGGGAGGGGCAGAGAGAGGAGACAGAGGATCCAAAGCAGGCGCCACACTGACAGCACAGAGCCCAACATGGGGCTTAAACTCACAAACCATGAGATCATGACCTGAGCTGAAGTCGGACGTTTAACCGACTGACCCACCCAGGCGCCCCCAGTATCTTTATTATGCTGTGTATGTTTTGTGTTTATCCAGCTTGGAGTTCATTGAGCCTTTTGGATGTGTAGATTAATAGTTTTCATCAAATTTGGGGATTTTTCTGTTTTTCAGATTGTATAATATTTATCAGTCTGTCTTCGAATTTGGTGATTCGTCTGTCAGTTCAAAATCTGTTGTCCATCTGTAGTGAATTTTTCATTTCAGTTAATATACTTTCCATTTCACAGTTTCCATTTGGTCCTATTCTTTATAATTTCTGTCTTTTTGTTGATAATCACTATTGATGACACATTGTCATCAGACCTTCCTTTACTTGTTTATGCATAGTTTCTTGTAGCTCTTTGTACATATTTGTCGTGGCAACTTGAAAGGCCGTCTGTTACCTCTAACATCTGGGCCCTTCAATGGAAGGTTCTGTTGCTTTTCCCTCTGAGTTGTACTTTCCTATTTCTCTGCATAGTTACTCATTGTTCTCAATGAAAGCTGAACATTTCGAATAATATATTGTAGCACCTCTGGATGCTGCAGGTCCGCCTGCCCCCCGCCCCAGGCCCTGTCTTTGTTGTCCTTTCTTTGTTTATTTACTGAGTGCCGTGGCTTGACCAGTTCAGTGAAGTCCTTCTCCCACAGCACGAAGTCCGCTGTTGCTCCTGTGCAGGCACAGCAGCCCGGGGTGACGGCAGACTCAGTGGTGCTCTGTGCCTGTCTCTGTGATGGCTCTGTTGCCATCACACCCGGCGGCCAGGTTCCACTAATTGCCAGCTGACTGCCTTAGTTTAGACAGTTTGTGATAAATGTTCTACACAGTCTGATCTCGTGTTTGAGCCCCTTTGCAGGGTTGTTTCCAAGGCTGTTCTGTGAAGTGGTTCTGACCTTCTTGCTGTCTTCTCCCCTGACCCTCCCCTCTCTGAGCACTTAGCTGGCTTGCGGTTTAGCTTGTGGCTGTCACGAAGCTACCAGCCACCTCTCAGCTGCCCACCTTCAAAATCACCATTGTTTTAAAGAGCATTCCTAGGCTTGAATTCCTCACCTTCTGTCTCAGACAAAGTCCATTCTTTTGTGGGGAGCTTTGCTCTGTTTTGTGGCCTGCCCTGGGCAAAATCTCTGAGCCACAGCTTCTAGTTATGGGCAAAAACAAGGGTCCCCTTCTCTTGGGGGCTTTGTGTTGTAGCCTCTTGTCTTTTCTGCTAGCCTCTTGGAGCAGCCTTCAGTCGGCTTGCAGGGTAAGGGTGAGTGGGTCCCAGTATTGTTGGCCTTTTATGCCTGGCATAGAAATTCGGGGAGGGGCTGGGCAGGAAAAGGGAACTCCCAGCCACTCACCTGCTGCTGAGCCTGTGCACCACATAGCTAAGGGGGATGAGCAATGCCGGCAGCCTGGTCCTCACAGGGAGAGCACAGAGCCCTCCCCAGGGACCCAGGGGGAGAGGGAGCCCTGTGTCCTTCAGTGCATCCTCCCAGAGTAGAGGCTCAGTCCCAGTGAGCTGCGGGGGGGCGGGGGCAGTGGGTCACGGCTCCTCACGTGCCTCACACCCTCCTGTTCTTACCAAGTTTTAGATTTTCTTGAACAAAGGTTTCTGTATTTGCCGTCTCCCCTAGATGGTTTCCAGAGGCTATAAATCGTGCGGGTGGTGGTTTTTCTACTTTTCACCAGCTATGCTTGTTCTCCTGGCAAGCTGACCCACAGAGCTCCGCGTGCCACCATTCCTGACAGGCCTTGGAAGACTTATTTTTAGCCTCCAAATTCATGTACATTTTTGTTGCTTGTTTTAATAAAAAAAAATCTTCAGGTGTTTCTTGTTCTGAAAGACAACCAGTTTGGGATTGTGTACCATGTGATTTCACATACCCCCAGCCCACTACTGTCCACCCCCAGAGCTCCCACCTCCCAATAAAGAGAAGTACAGGTCTGGGTCCATCCAGGGTCAGGGAGTCCCAGAAGCAGATCATGCTTGTGCTTGATCTCCACATAGGGCAGAGCAGGTATATTTTATTGTCTCCCTTCTACTACCAGATGTAAACTCTGTGAAGGGAGGGACTTTGCCTGCTCTTTCATATTCTATCCCTCAAGCCTGGAATAGTGGCACATAGTGGTTGTCAGTATTTGTCGATTGAAAGTGTGAAAGGTGGCTAAGCTGTACAGAGCATGTTTCTAGGGCCAGTGGAGAGGAGGCAGGTGGGAGAGGGCCTGGCTGCTAGATGGGAAGAATGGTTTTCTGAAATGCTTTTCCTTCTTCTGTGAGATAAAACCCACTCTGTAATGTGGCCTGCCTTGTATTAGTACTGCAGAATTACAGTTATCAAAATATTGCTGACAAGAGCTAGTCCTACTAATCAATGGAGCAAAATCAGAAGGTGAAAAATAGACCCTAGTAGCATTTAGTGACAAAAGGTGGCATTTCATAGTAGTGGAGAAAAGACAAGACATTCCAAAAGTGATGTCGTGACCTTCTAGAAAAAAAATCATGCTAGGAATCTACCTCATTCTTTAAACCTGTGTAAATCCCAGATCAAAACATTTAAATCTTTTTTTTTAAAACACTCCTTATTATGTAAGTTTTCAGACATACAAAAGTAGTCAAAATAGTATAATAACCCCGCAAGCCCACCACCCAGTTTCAGTGTTTATGGGCCAGTTAGAGCCAATCTTACGCCTCTGTCCTCTTGCTCATTTGCCTCTCCTTTCTTGCTTGGAAGTAGGTCTATAGAAGACATGTGCTCTTCTTTCTTTAGTAACGTAATCTTGATACCATTAGCACCATTAAAACATAGCATTAAGTCCTTGATTCATCAAATGGTCAGTGTTCAAATTTCCAATGTCTGTCTCCCTCTTTGGTTGTTTGAGCTGAGATACCAGTAAGATTCACGCACCGAGATTGGTTGATGTAACCCTTTACATTCTCTTCCATCTCTAGGTCCCTGCTCCATCCTCTCTTATTTTACCTCAATGTATTTGTTGAAGAAACCTTATTATTTGTCCTGGGAGGTCTCTCTCTGCACTGTCTGTTAACATACCCTCTCCCTCTGTGAACCCTGTCTGAACAGGAGGCAGATTCAGATCCCATTGGTTTGGTTGGTTTCCTAAGGCTGTTTCCAGCAGGAAGCACACAGTGTCTGACTGTTTGCTGTGTTGTAAAGCCAGTAGCCATTGATGACCAGCTAGAGCCAGTAATTCACTGGAGGTTGCAGATAGTGATATTTTAATTGTATAATTTTTTGTTTCATTAACTAGCCTGAATTATTCTATGAGGAGAATCTTCCCCAATCTACTTTTTGCTTACCTACCAGTACCATTTATATAACAGAGATAGGATTAATGATGATTTATTCTTCCCACTTATTTGCCAGTTTCAGATCAATGATTTAGTTCACTGTTATTCACTAGCACGCTTCATCCGTGACCAGTTAGGGTTTTGTGTTGTTGTTGTTTAGTAGCATTGTGAACTCATGGACCTAAGCATATTTTGTTTCAATTCATGATAAATAATATTCTTTTTACTACTCAAATTATCCCATCTTTGGCCAGTAGGAGCCTCTGATTCAGATTAGCTCCTGAGTCCTTCCACCTAATTAAGGTCTCAGACACCTTAGTATCTCTGGAAGCTCTGTTGCTATGTGGTCTGAAAATGTGTTCCAGCCTCCTATGCACAGCTCCTTCCCTGGACTTGGAATCGGCTGCTTTACCAGGATTCTTTTGTTTTGCTCAGTGGACAGGGATCTTTGAGGACCACTGTCTGTATACCTGCTCATTTATCATTTCTGGACAAAGCAAGGAAATTTTTTTTTAGATAAAAATGATCGTGAATTTGTGTTGATATTTGCAATTCACATTCACTACTGTAAAATGAAAGTCTTAGATCTTACATCTTTTCTGTCTTCCTTCTAAGCTTAGAATCCTGGTGGTCAATGACCTAAGATATGAGTATCACATAATGGCCCAGAGTAGTCTCAGAATAACACCAGCACCACCACCAATATCAGTACCAAAAGCAGTTTAAAGTGGGATTTTTCTTTTGGGTTTTGTTTTACTTCAGATCAAAGCACTTCATATAAGAAAATACTGGAACAAAACAAATGATAATATTGGAGTAGAAAGTTCTTTCTAAGTATAACCCAGAAGCCATCATTGGAGCGTTGGTCAAGAAAAGATTAATATAGGGGCGCCTGGGTGGCTTAGTCGGTTAAGCGTCCGACTTTCGCTTAGGTCATGATCTCGCGGTTCGTGGGTTCCGGCCCTGCGTCGGGCTCTGTGCTGACTGCCAGCTCAGAGCCTGGAGTCTGTTTCAGTCTGTGACTCCCTCTCTCTCTGACCGTCCCCTGCTCATGCTGTCTCTCTCTCTCTCTTTCCTAGAAATAAATAAAAATAAAACATTTAAGAAAAAAAAGATTAATATATTTGTTCAAATTAAAAAGAAAAATTCTATACAACCAGAAGTACCATAATCAAAGTAAAACCTCTACAAACCCACACTACAGTGTCTAAGGTACTCCCACCAAGCACCACCCACCTCTCCTGGGTAGACTTCCCTGGTAGGCCCCCTCAGTCCACCTCATACCTTCATTGTGGTTTCTGGGGGGTGAGGGCTGGGTATTCTCGTTACAGATGAGAAAAGTCTGACTGCGTTGAGTTCTTGTCCAAGGCATCAACTGGATAGTGACAAAGCCGGAGCCTGAGCCCAGTGTCCTGATGTTGCACCCATTCTGTCTGCAAGAGTTAGTAGGAAAGCAGCCCATTACTAAGGCTTGAAGCCCTTCAGCTGCTCAGGCCATCAGGAGGCAGATGTCTTTTTTGTTGGAGTTGCTTAGAGAACCAGGCCCAGCTGAATCCAGCCTCATTCTACTCTCCCCAGTGGAGGTGCCTTCTACTGCCCAGGAATTGCCAAAAAGTCCATGTCGGCTTCTCAGTGGTGTGCGGGCCTCTCTGAGTCCACAGGGTAGGGCTGCCACACATCCTGCTATCACCCTTGTTCAGGAGGTTGACTGATGACCTCACCAGAGTGACCATCCCTCAGCACGTACAGAGCTACCTGCTGTCTCTGTGCGTATCCCAGGCTCTGAAACTCAGTACTGAGTTTCTTGTGTTGGTGTCTCTCCTACATACTGTGTGCTACTTGGGGGAGGCACCAGGCCCACACGGAATGAGTATTTAGTAAATTTATTGACATAAAAACCAGGGAGATGCTTTCTCTATGAATCTGCATAGAATGGCTTGAAGAGATGGTTAATTGGTTGTAGAAAGTTAAGGGAATGGGGATGCCTGAGTGGCTCAGCTGGGTAACTGTCCGACTCTTGATTTAGGCTCAGGTCATGATCTTTCAGTCCTGAGATTGAGCCCCATGTCGGGCTCCACACTGGGTGTGGAGCCTACTTAAGATTCTCCCTCTCTCTCTTCCTCTGCCCTGCTCAGACTCACACACGCCTGCTCGCGCTTCTCTCTCTCTCTAAAAAAAAAAGTCGAGGAAGTGACTACTATCTCACACACCTGAGAGACCATTACTCAAACTCAAAGGAAACCATTTTCTTTTCTCTAGGTGACATCAGACATCCAAAGCATGTTCAACAGACTGACCTGGCTGCAACCCTCGCCATAGGGCTTGGTCTGCCGATTCCAGAGAACAGTGTTGGAACTCTCCTATTCCCCACCATAGAAGGGAGACCGGTGAGAGAACAGCTGAGGTTTTTACATTTAAATGCGGTGCAGCTCAGCAAATTGTTGCAAGAGAACGTGCCATCATACAAAAAAGGTAACTCAGTTAATAGACTATGTTTCCACTACACGTGGTGTGGAGGTCATCAGTGTTTGTGCCTCTGTTTTGTTAGAACCCTGACGATGATCATTAGCAACACCCACAGATAGAATTATCTATATCAACTTCTTCCTTTCAACAAATATGGAATTTTTTTCACTAAGTTCCTGTTTGGCTGGGGACTGTTACCAGCACTGGAGACACAAGGGCCCTGCCCTCATGGAGTTTACCTCCCAGAGGAGAAGTAGCAGTAGCTGTCGGATGGTGAGGAGCGCCTCAGGAAAAGGGTGTACGGGGGAAGGGATGGAGAATGCAGATGGGGGAGGGCTGTTGGGGCAGGCCTGGCCTTTGACGCCAGGAGAGAATGGGTGGCAGATGCAGGATTCTGCAGTGGGGACGTGCCTGCACATGCAAGGGAGGACCAGGGGATGGAGCAGCTGGAGCTGAGTGAACTGGGACAAAGCAGAAGGAGATGAGGTCAGAGGGATATGAAGGCCTTCTAGGCCCTGGAGAGGCTCTTGCTTTCGTCCTGAGCTAGGTGGGGAGCCCATGCGGCCTTTCGTGCAGTCTGAAATCTTCAAGCTGAATTTTCAAAGGCTCTCTCACGTGCCCATGTGGAAGGTTCTACCTTGTGTTGTAGGAGAGTCTGAAAGCTGCTTCAGTGCCTCGGTGAGAGGTGGTGGTGTGAGGTCCAAGGCAGTGGCAGTGCAATCCAGAACAAATCGCTGCATTCTGGATATGTTTTGAAGGTAATGCAAGCAGGGTTTGATGATGCACTGGATATAAGGTGCAGATGCACCAGAGGCATAAGGAACGACTTGGGGTTTTCCCCAAGTGGAAGAATGGAGTGACCGTTACTGAAATGGGGAAGGGTGTGGGAGGAGCAAATTGGCAAAGCGGGGTGCTTGCAAGGTGAGGGGATTGGTGATGAGGAAGTCAAGTAAAGGAAGAAATTCAGGAAGGGAGGAGTGAGCAGCTATGTTGGGTGCTGCTTAAGATAAGATAAAACGAGGACCTGAGACTGAACCATTCATCTGGCAAGTGAGGTTGTCGGTGACTTTGTCAGGACCAGTGCACACGGTGTCCTGGCAGAAAGTCAGACTGGAGTGGGAGAAGGAAGGGACTGGGGCATGGGTATGGCTGCTGTCCGAGGTGGGTGGAGGCCAATACAGGGTATATTGGTTTTATTCTTAAGTGGGGAGAAACTAAGAGGTATTTGTATGCTGGTGAGAATGATCCAGAAAAAGAGAACACAATGCCCCAAGACCATCTTTCCATATATTCTATCTGACCATCCAGGTGTATCAAGGACAGCGTGTTTGTGCTGGGACCGGGGCTGGTTTGGGAACTTAAAGGAGGTCGGCTCCTAGTTTGAGGTAATGTTTGATGTGACATTGGCAGCGTTTCCTCCTTGAGGTAGTGGAGTACTAGGAAGTGGGGTGGTGCCAGCGAGGTCACGTTGAGATGCAGACTGGCCTCGAGTTGCTTCTGGACGACAATCCCTGCAGGGACTAGTGGGGAGCCATGTGTCCCAAAAGGTGGGAGAACTTCGGGAGCCAGCCCCTAGTTGGTGAAGGGGCCCCCGATGGGCAACTGTGTGACAGTCTGTGTGAAAAGCGAGGCCGGCCCTGGTGCACATTTCTGGTCCAGACTAGAGATGATGATTACTTTGTTTTCAAAGATAACTTGTTTGGTAGCTTTTGCAAATTTGTTATTGCCAACTTGTGTCCTTCTTCCTATACTAACAACCAGTAAAAACCCCAAACAAAACCACAGTGGTGGCGGTTTGCTTATTTCAGGAGTAGCACGTAGGGAGAATTAAGCACAGCAGTGGCTGTGGTGGGAAACAAGCCCATGAGATGCACTTGGGCCAGTCCCTGGAATGGCAAAGCACTCTTGGAGCCTTACACCCCTAGGATACCCTTGTCTATACCAGCAGTGATCGTCTTTCCTGAGACAAAACTGGGTAATGTATCTGACGCTGGAATTGATTTCAAGGCCTCCCCTGATATCGAGCCCAATCTGATACAGCTTGTCCGTCGCTCCCCTTTCCAGTGGGCCAGGCTTTTCTCACCCCAAGACCTTTGCATATGCTTCTCTCCTAGAATGGATGCTTTTCCCCCCGATCACCTGGTAGATTCCTGGGCCACCTTCCACTTCACCTTCAATATTGGGCCTTAGTGTCCCCCCACCCTCAACCCCAGATTTCGGTCAGCTTCCTCAGTGTTACCCAAAGTCTCCCATATTCCCCCACTTGCCTCCATAGCATTTTTCACAATTTGCACTTACACGCACATGTGAGAACCCAGCTGGATCGCAGGCCCAAGCAGGCAGGAACTATACCTATTTGCACATAGCGTATAGTCAGTGCTCAGAAAATATTTGTTTGGATGTGTACGTAGGTGACTCCATGGGTGGTGGGGTATAGACACTTGTGCCCCCACATCTCTGTGGGGGAGTGTAACCAAGTTTTCATCCTGGACCCAGACTAATTGAGTTTAGATCCCAGCTGTCACACCTGCCAGCCCATGAGCTGCTGTCCGGGTGCCTCCTCTCTGGAGTGGGCATGGTAGTCCTCCCTATCTGAGGGCTTACCGTCATGCCTGCCATCAGCACCTGGTCAGCTGGTGCCTGCAGCAGCAGCGGCGGGGCTGCAGGTGTCTGGGCCGTGCTCAGGGTTCTATAGCAGCCTTAACTCTAATCCTGAAAGGCATGGTCTAGATCACCTTGGAATGGCTCTGCTGGAAGTCTGAAGAGCATGTGAAATACTACAGAGTCTCAGAAAGGAAGTTCTTGCTTTTGCAAACCAGTTGAGTCACCAGTAGTTCTGGTCAAACTCCAGAAGGGAGCAAGGCAACTTCCTGACGCTGAGCTGCCTGCCACTGCTACCCTCAAGGGGGAGCCAGCAGCCGCTGGGGCCGGGCTTCACCCAGCAGCTGTCCTGCCAGCCCTGGCTTGGCGTTGGGGCGGATCATCTAGCCCGGCATCATGGCAGGAGGGGTCAGAATTGCTGTCCCTTCCCAGAGAAGACTTGCAAAGAAGGGAAGCAGGTCAGAGATGGGTACTATCAGTCAAAGGCAGGAAGTGGATGCAGTGGAGGCATCAGGCCACTGCCTGCCCAGTCCTCACAGTGTGGAAAGATTTTGAACACAGAGGGCCTATTAATGTGATGCACTTCTGGGTTGTTTTTATATTGCACATTAAAGAAGAAGAAAGGGGTGGAGAGAGATCAGGAGAGAAGAGGGAGGAAGCGGAGGCAAAGCCAAGTTTGGAAGGTAAGGACAGGGAGGCAAGCGGTGGGCACATGCTTCTGTCTACGCTGGACGCTGCTTTGTGCGTAAGGTTGTGGCGGGCCGGCAGGCAGGCGGGATGTCAGAAGATTCGCGAGCATCATCGGCTGTTAGTTTTACTGAAGGCATTGCTGGCCACCCCCTACCCTCAAGGAATAGTTAATCTTCATTAGGTTTCAGCCTTTAAGCTCACATCGTATGCACATGAATAATAGAATACTTTGAAATGACATACATGTCTTCTTGTCCATGATTTGTACATGTAACCTTGTCCTCCTCTTGGCAGAGCCTGGATTTGAGCAGTTTAAAATGGCAGAGAGGTTGCATGGGAACTGGATCAGACTGTACTTGGAGGAAAATGCCTCAGAAGTCCTTTTCAACCTGGGAGCCAAGGTTCGCAGGCAGTACTTGGATGCCCTGAGGACCCTGAGCCTATCTCTAAGCAGACAAGTGGCTCAGTACGACATCTACTCGATGCTGGTGGGGGCAGTCGTGGTTTTGGAGGTATGGCGGCTTGTGTGGAGTCCTGGCTTGGCTGTTAAACTGATTTGATAACTCAGCCAGAATTTTGTAGTTTAAAGTATATAAAACATTATTTTTTCTAAAAATGGAAAAGCACCAGTTTCCTTATTCATTGGACTCTTTCGTGGTGTGTCCTCATGCCCGAAGTACTGTCAGGCATCAAGTGTACATGCATTCTTGGCAGTTCTTTACAAATCCTACTTACTGGGCTTTCTGCTTCCATTTCCAACATTTGAACAGCTGGCACAAGGTCGGGGGGGCAGGCTTTTTCTAACCAGTTCTCTCTGAGCCCCTCAGTCATGGACACTGCTGCTGTTTTTCTCTGCCAGGTTCTAACCCTGCTCCTGCTCAGCATCCCACAAGCACTGAGCAACAAGGCTGAATTGGAAGTTCCTCTGTGGTCGCCTGTGTTTTCTCTGCTGTTTTATTTGATGCTTCTGGTACTTTCTGCTCTTCATGTCATTGTGTGCACCTCAGCTGATAGCTCCTGCTATTTCTGTGGCCTCTCGTGGCTGACGGCAGGAGGGGTGATGGTGCTGATCTCTGCACTGCTCTGTGCGGTCGTGTCTGCTCTTGCCAAGATGGCTGCCAATGGAAAGCTCCTGAGCAAGGTAAGGCTGATTGCTGAGCATAGGACACTGTCTTTCTGGATAGGCCTTTTTCTTATATCTCGGCTGATGTTTCATTCATCAGACACTGGTTAATCCCCTTGCTGTGTACCAGGCAGAGCTGAGGAGCCCACACTTCAGAGGCGCCAATGCCTGAGCTCCCTGACTTCAGATACTCACACCTGTGTTGTCACGTCACATGCCTCATTTCTTTGTTGTAAAGAAAGGGTCCCTGTGACTCTAAACATGGGACTGTACACAGCTGCTGGTCACAGACAGATAGGCAGTTGGCTGATGGGGCAGTGTGAATCAGACACCTCTCAGGAGGTGTTTGAGCTCAGCCAAGGGAGGAACATTTCCGAGAGGAAGGAATCAACTCATTAGACCTTCTAGAAAGGTCAGCAGGAGGCTAGGACCCTGTTCTCGTCCTGCCCTCCTCAGGAGTCCATTCCTCCTCGTAAAGTGCAGTTTTCTTTTCAAGTCTCATGTTTTCCTTAACATTTCTTAGAGTCTTTGGCCTCTGTCACCTATATTCATGATCATGGTAGCAGGGTGGTGAAGCAGAGGTGGGCAGCCACAGGTGGTCCATGGTGCCTGGGCCCTAAGGGACCCAGGGAAGTCACTCCAGGCCCCCAGGGCCATCATACACCCTTCCCTGCATGCCTGTGTCTGAGGAGCTCACGTTGTCATTTATAGCACACTTCTGTTCCCCATGAGAACATAGGTTTCCCTCGAGCCATTTCATTCTCCAGGCCCTAAATTAGGGCTCATGGTGTCTCTCTTTCTGTCTTATACAAGCTGTGCATGACAAATAGAGGAAATATTAAGAAATTATCAAATGACGGTCACAAAGTCCTGATCTTTAATTTTCAGTGTGCTTAGGATATGGAAGGGATGGTACCGTGATGCCAACTTTGTTGTTTTGAGGGAATTGACCATTTTAATGAAAACTTTCTGGATTTTTGGAAAATTTAGAATTTTCTGAAGAAATTTAGAAATTCTAATTTCATGGAGAAATTAGGTGTCTGGTTTGGTTAATATATCATGCGGGCTCTTTTGGTTTCAAGCACCAGGAACTGACTGTGACCCCCAGAGGCCTAGGCTCTGAGGGAAAGGAGGAGGGTACAGGGAGGGCTTGGCCCAGGAGCCAGTAGGTGAGCTCTCTGAGCTGTGGCGCTGCCCAGGTGGTGTGGGGCTAAGTATCTTTGTTCTCTTTGTCACTCGCCTTAGGACTTGTAGTGCACGGTGACAGCTGCCTGCGCTGTTTCTGTGTCCACCGGCTGTGCCCCAGGAGGCCAGGCAGTCCTATCAGAGCAGGGGGCGGGCGCAGTGCGTGAGGGGCCACAACCCCCCGTCATAGCAGGTTGCTCTGTGAGCAACAACTTTAGTGCCTGGGGCGGGATTTGTGTAATTTTCATATTTTTCCCTCACAGAATTCATTTTCCTTTCACAGAATCCAGCCCATCCAAACTCACAATGGTCAGAGTTAGATGTTGTTATCTTGTTGGGGACCATGGGCCACGTGCTGAGTCTGGGTGCAAGCAGCTTCGTCGAGGAGGAGCACCAGACCTGGTACTTCCTGGTTAACACCTTGTGTCTGGCTCTGTGTCACGAAATCTACAGAAACTGCTTTCTGGGTGATGACTGTGAGCCCCAGCAGTGCTCACATGTGGAGTCGGGATTTGTCAGCACTGCACCTCCGTTACAGGACAGGAGCATCGGCTGTGATGTGTTAGAGCCCCACAGAGTGTCCGAGAGCCCCACTTCCCTTCACACACTCAGAGGCTATGAGAAGTGGATGGTGATGGCAAGCCCGTGGGTGATACTTACCTGCTGTCGGCTGCTGCGGTCACTAAACCAGACAGGTGTGCAGTGGGCCCACCGGCCTGACCTGGGGCATTGGCTCACCAGGTAAGAAAGAGTATGAGCCTTAGGCCAGACCTTGCACGGCTGACTGGCCACAGAGTCTTTTTTTTTTTTTTCCCCAAAATTTAGGCCTGTTTTTTATATTCAGGACATAAGTGGTATTTGAGATCTGAAGAAATGGAAAAATAGACTGTAAGCCAGGAATTAATATTGAAAGCTGGATTTATTTGAAGCTACCCTAAAATGCTTGTTTTTTTTTATTGCTGAGTCACCATAATTGTTTACATTTGAAAACCTTTGAGGGTTTTTTTTTAATGTTTTATTTATTTCTGAGAGAGAGAGAGAGAAAGAGACACACACAGCATGAGCGGGGGAGGGGCAGAGAGGGAGGGAGACACAGAATCTGAAACAGGGTCCAGGCTCTGAGCTGTCAGCACAGAGCCCGATGTGGGGCTCAAACCCACGAACCATGGGATCATGACCTGAGCCAAAGTTGGACATTTAACTGACTGAGCCACCCAGGTGCCCCAAAAACCTTTGAGTTTTAAAATGACAACAGCAGCGAGGATGTAGTTTTGTTACCTGCCGCCTCCTCGGCAACAAGGCAGCTCTGGGACAGGGCCATGCTCCCTCCATCCTTCCTCTCCTCTCTCCCCACCCTGAGGCCGATGCCTGGACAACCTCGTCCAAAGTGTAGTGGATGGGGAGGATCACAGTAGAGAGAGGAAACTGGGACAGAAAAGGTCAAGATTTGGCTGTATTAATATATTCTAATTGTCTGTCAGTGAAGACTTCAAAAACTAAAGCAGAAGGAAGAGAATAAAATGAGCATTTACTTCCTGTCGCTGTGAAGGACTTGTATGAAAGTCCCCAGCAGGAAGGGGGCTCAGGACAGTGGCAGACACGTCCCTAAAGGAGGCAATGCCAACAGAACGACAAGGGACACACTCACCGTCCTAGTGATCAGGGAGCGTGTGGTCAAACAACGAAGCGTAATTTAACTCATAGTCAGGTAGACACACAAAAGGAAGTGATAGAGCGCAGCATCGGCAAGCAGTGGAGACCCCTGACCGTACACTGCCATTGTCCTTTGGGAAGATAACCTGGAAATACCCATCACAGGCTATAAAAATCATTCCTCTGGTCAAACAATTCTTATGGGAAACTCCTCCCAAGTATTAACTCTGTTAAATACTTGGCAAACCTCTGGCAACCACAGGAACCACAGGCAGCTTCTTTCGGGTGCCTGCCACGTGCCTGCTCGTTTCATTTTTGCAGCAAGCCTGGAGAGAGATTGCTGGCTTGCCCCATCTCAGGTGAGGAAGCAGAAGGGAGTCAAGGCACCTGCCCAAGCATGTGAGGTTGGGAGAGCTTGGGGACGGCCCAGTAGCCTCCCTTCTTATTTTTCTGGAGAGCTGAAGCCCTGCAGCAGAATGTGCTGATTCCCACCCCTGATGCTCTGCCCCCCTCTCCAGGGGCCACTGCCCACGCCTCAGGCTGGACCCTCCTCCAGCACATCGGGCCAGCCTCTTCCCGTTAGAGGGTGCCCCTTCCTGCATCACAGCTTTCCCCATGCCTCTGAGTTATTCCTATCAACGTGTGAAGAAGCTGCCACGTGGCCCCATTTCTCCTTCAGAGCAGAGCTTCTGACGGCATCTAAACTCTATTGCTATTTTTCAGTTGCTACAATTAACAATCCAGGAGAATGCATAAAACACCTAGTTTAAAGAGCAACAGTGAATGGATACCCAGGTGACTGCCTCCCAGAGCAAGCACTAGGGCAGGGCCAGGCCCTAGACGACACTTCTCACTTCCTGCCATCCCCAGCCCCACGTCCTGATGCTAGTCATCTTTCCTCTGAGTCTTTTCCAAGACTCAGACTGATGTGTGTTTACCTTGGCAGGTAAAACACATCATCCACTTAACAGCTGTTGAGTGTCCGGCTTTCATGAGTGTGCGCTGTGGTGAATGGAACAGAAAAGAATCCTGCCTTCCAGCGCAGCACTCACCAAGGTAGCAGGGTGGTGGGCAAGGACCGGGCAGAGACGGGCGCAGCTTTGCCATGACAGGTTTGCGCCCCGGGGCTGACTGCAAAGTCTCCTCACCTGGGAAGGAGCAGACACTCTCAAGTGAGTCAATCTGTGTTAATGAGGGAATGAGAAAGGGTTGCGCCAAGACGTGCTTATCTCCTGTGAGCAGGGTGTACACTGGCAAATGCACATTTTGCCCAGAATCTCTTCACCTGCAGTTGGGGAAGATGGGGCTGCTAGGGGAGCCCAGGGATAGCGGTTTGTACAGATCACTGCGCTGGCCAGTGCAGACCTAGTGGCAGGGACCACGTGTGAATGAGAAAGGAGAGTTCAGGTTAACTCATTTTTTACATTTTTAGAACCTTTGAATTTAAATCACCAATGATTTTTTTTTTCTTTTTTGCTTTTCAGAAAAATCAGCTATTTTTAATACAGTTCCTAGAAAGCCATTTGGTGTAGATCCATGACATCAATATTGTGTTAGAAATTTGGCAATTCTCTGTTTCATTTCAGTTCTGATCATAAAGCTGAGCTCTCCATTCTGGCCGCCCTGTCACTCATCATGATTTTTGCGCTGGTGCAGAGGAGGTGCTCCCTGACGTCAAAAGTGGCTATGGCACTTGGCCTCCTGGGCGTCTATTGCTACCGGGCAGCCATTGGAAACGTCCTGTTCCCATGGCAACGAGAGAGCAAAGACATTTCAAAGTAAGTGCACTGGCAAATCTATTTAATGTTTTATGTACTAAAACATGCCATGCAGTCTTTAGAGCTTTGGAATTAGTTTCTGTGAATCGTGATCTCAGCAGTTACTAGAGCCTAGACAAGGAATGCGTCAATAAACTGATGCTTTTAGCCTCTTTCCTTTGGTAGGAGAGAGACAAATAACAGAGTAAGTTCACTGAGGTTTATTTTTTAAAATAAAGGATTCTCTAAAATTAAGAAATGGAAAGGATTCAGTTTTGCTCAGTCAGGATGCAGTAATAGGAGTCACAAAGAGATTGGGAAACAAAGCACACCAGAAAACTAACTTTCCCATAAATTTATGGTGAATTCCTGGGGTGGGCAGGCCTCTCCTCCCCCATGCTGACTGAGGCATGAATGCCACTTTTGATGTGTCAAAAACTGGCAGTTTTTCTTTTTTTTCTTACTGGCAGTGTGGGGTGGGGTGAGCAGAGGCCATTCTGGAGGCTATAAAACTGTTAAGAAACTTGAGTGTAGCCATCCCTGTGACCTGGACACCCTCTTATGGAATTTATCTCAAGAATAGAGCCAGAAATGAGGCCTGAAGCCAGACACAGGCATGCTCTCTGAAAAATCATTTACAGGTACACAGAGTACAAAGCAAGATAATTGGCCTAAAGTAGTGGGATGAACCTCTGAGTGATGTTAGAGTTCTGTGCTGAGTATTGTGTTTTCATAGAATATGAGAAGATGTCGATCAGTAGGCTATGAAACTATCATATGATCCCAGCTTAAGAAGTAGGTGCATATTTTTTCATGTTTGTATGAAAAACTCAAATATGTAATTGGTTGTGATTATATTTAGGACACTGAGTCACAGATGGCTTGTGATCCTCTTTTTTCATGCATTTTTATTTTTTTATTGCTTTTCTATCAGAGGAAGGAAAGCAAATGTTATCTTCTCAGAAAAGGTCAGAGTGTAAGCTGAGGGCTGTGGCCAGGCTGTGTGGATGGCAGGAGGCATGGGGCCCACCTGAAAATAGGACCTGCCGACAGTATGGGCAGTTGAGGTGATGCCCCGAGCCTGGCTGAGGTGACGGCAGGGTGGCGGGCCTTCACCTGAAGCAGGGAGGTCAGGTAGGGGAGGGTGCTGCATAGACATCTCAAAGGCTGTTTACTTCGGAGTTTCGGAGTCTAGGCTCTGGGCAGATGTCAAGGTGGATGTCACACTTGAGGGTGTTCATAGGAGTGTTTAAATCTCAAAGTGTGATAAGTGAATACAATGCACCTTATTTCCTCACCACTCATCTCAAGACTTGGATCACTTACCTTTCGTGGACACTACAGCGTATACCTTCTTGGTGTCCAAAACATAGGCCATTGCACCCTTTCATTAACCTTCACTGCTTGGTTCACCTTCTTCCTGTAAAATGCTTCCATTCCCCACCCGCATCTATCCTGGTTCTAGATCCCTCTCACTTCTAGATCTAGTCCAGTTCTAGAGCCATCTGGATTTCCCTAACAGCTGTTTCTCTCCGTTCAGTCTGCTTCTGTCCATCGATATTCTAAAATCCCCCTTTACATTTAGGTCTGGCCTCTCTTCTCTACCCTGATGCCTAGGCTTACCTGGAATGGAAGGCCAGGTTGCCATTGTCCTAGATGGCACTGAATGGGTTGGGGGCAAGGAGGTGGACCCCTTGAAGGCATCCACTGGTGCTCTTAACTATCCACCACCCCAAATGCATTCTCCCCCTCTGATGACTCAGACCTTGGCTGATTTCTCCTTTAACTCTACTGGGGCTGTCATCAGCCCTCTGCTTAAGCACATACCCTGCCTGAGGGGTTGCACCTGACACCAGCTCTTTAGCTGGTGCATGGCCCTGTGGCAGGGATCTACACACTAGAGGCACACAGCAGACAGGGCTTGGACTGTTCAAATTAAACTAACTATGGTTTAAAAAAAGGAATTTTTTTAGGTGCATAAACCTTCCGAGGAAAATCTGAGATAGGAATGTTCAGTTTTTCAAAACACATACATTATTATGATAAGGATTTTACTTAAAATTTTATTTATTTAGCATTATTTTAAGTGATTGCCTTTTCTAATATTTATAAAATACTTGATTTATGATATTTATTTAAAATATGTTTTAGGGATATATGTGCTTCATAAGATGAAATTTTTTGGTATGGTGTCATAAATTATATCCTTTATAAATAATTGTAAATGAAGTGATAAAATAATTCTTAATAATCCTTAATATTTATTATGCGCCAAACACTTTACTTCTGTTCTTTTGTTTAACTCCCAGGACAGTTTGTGAGGTGTAGGTACCATGTCTCTTTATTTTAGGAATAGTGAAGTGTCAGAAGCCTTGAATAACTTCCCCCAACAACAGAGCTAGTAAGTGGCAGAGCCCAGAAGAACCTGGCTCTGCCCTTCTCCAGGCCCCACAGGGTACTCTGCACCATTACGTATGTGACGTGCGTGGACATACATAAGTACTTACGGTTGTGAGCACATCCAGTTGTGTCTTAGCATTATGAACTTACAGAAATTTCTGATAGAGCTTGACCTAATCCTTTTGCAGTGGTCTTTCAGATTAACCGTGTGAAGCAGGTAGGCAGTTTTTCTGGCACCCTACACATGATGGCTCCGATCTTGTGCCAGGCCATCCTTGGGCCAGATGAGCAGGACTTCCCATAATTCCCATAAGCCAGTTCCATCAGAGACGTGCACGTAGAGAGGACAGGTCTGCCAGCCTCTCCGCAAGGGGCGTCCTCGCAGGCTGATAGGCAGAGACAGACAATCCCACTTCCATGGTGTGACCCAAGTGGGTGTACACTGTGGCTTCTTTAGTCAGCTAGGTAGACACATGGTTTTCATGGAAAAATATGTTTTGAGTCTTTTGATTTTGTGCTAATGAATCAAACTTTTTTGCTTTTTTTTAGGGGTCTTATTGAAGCTCGTTTTGTTCATGTCTTTGTCCTGGGCATTCTGTTCACGGGCACCAAAGACTTGCTTAAATCTCAAGTCATTGCTGCAGACTTCACAATCAAGACTGTGGGTTTATGGGAGATATATAGTGGATTAGTTCTTCTGGCTGCTTTGCTTTTTAGACCACATAATCTTCCAGTTTTAGTATTTAGCCTCTTGATTCAGACAATAATGACTAAGTACATCTGGAAGCCCCTGAGGCATGATGCAGCTGAGATCACTATAATGCATTATTGGTTTGGTCAAGCATTCTTCTATTTCCAGGTAGGTTTTCATTGTTATTGTGGATAGAAGCCTATTAACTTTTTATGTCATTTCTCTTTTAGTTTTTCGTTGAGAAAGTTTACCATAAGTTGGGAAGTTAAAAAGGCTGTTTAGTAAAGGAACTTTCAGTATGGTATGGGGGATGATGCTTAAATTTTGTGCGTATTTAGTAGGATAAAATTCAGTTAGTTACTTAAGACTGACACCCTCAGTGTGGCTCCATGAGTGCTTAAGACAGCGTATGGTTATATACTAGATCTATTTACCGTGACCGGTCAGGGAGGCACATCACAGTTCTGTTGCTTTACCTGAGGAGCTGGTAACTGATGTCTCTATTCCCTTTCCCCCAGCCATGCTATTGGGTGTCTTCGTGTGGTTATGAATCCCCTGGGGCCCTGTGGTTATCACATCTTTTCTCTAGTGTTAAAGGGCCCATCAGAAGCAAGTCCAAGCTGCCTTTGGGATGGACTCAGTATTTGCCTACATGTTTACAGCAGCTCCTGGATGCGTGGATAGAGGGCCCAGCTCCTGGCCTTACAGGGACTCCATTCCACCCCAGCCTTCCCACATCTCTGCCTAGTTCAGGGGGCCCCACCCTCAACCTAGTTGTGGCTTCTAGGACCCTTGAGGGGGGGCACAGCTCCCCAGCCTCCCCTGTCAGCTCCGTGCCCTCTGGCCCTCTGGAAGAGCTGTGTGCAAGCCCCCGAGTGTCTCAGCTGTGTTTTCCCATCTTTACAGAGAGGATCTGTACTTCCTCCGTAAGTACCAGCTCCTCCCTCCTCTTCCAGACCCTGGGGACGTGTGTGGTCTGTGTGACCTGATAGGTGGGCCTGGGCTTCTTCCCTGACCTTCCTCTTTCTCCCTGGTTTCCTGGTGCTCCTGGAATCCCCCAAAGAGCAGCCCCCCCGTCATGGTTTCCCATCTAGTCCCTGAAGCCAATGGGGGTGGGAGAAGTTCTAAAAATCCTTACGTCCTGGAGGATATGACCTAACCCCCAGACCCCCCCTTTGCCCTTCATCCACTCTGGGGGACTCCATACTTCTCTCTCCAGCCCTGCACTTGAGTGCTTTCCAGAGTCACTGTCCCCAGCAGAAATGTGGGTAGCTGCAGCCCTGACACTGGTGTCCAGCACTTCTAAGCTACGTCTGGCGTCTGGCAGGCACCTGCTGTGCCCTAGTCTCATCTATAAAATGGAGTAACAAACAGCTCCTCACTCCCTTGGCTGCTGCGAGGATGAAAGTAGTGGGGAACGGGAGGTACCCTGTGTAGTAGCCTCACTCCCTGCCCGTGTTGCTCGGGACCCGCAGAGAAGGCATGGCGTCTGGGAGTAGGTAGGACGTGGAGAGTGAGAGCACTTCCCTGGAGGTGCTGCCCGTCCCAGGAGGGGCTGTGACTGAGGACCGTGCTGCTGGTCCATGAGATCCACCCCTCACGGGCTGGGCCCCACGGTCTTCGTGTTGTGTGTGTCTCCATGGTGTCAAGCAGCCACATTTCAAACACCACAGCATTTCTTACCTATCAGAAGAAATGTAAAAAACAAAATCCTATGGAAGTGAGAAAACACAATTAGCCCAGGAATTCCAGAACACCAGCTGAAAAGGGGAAGAAGATGAAGGAAGCATTTGGGGCCCCATGAGCCGCAGAAGAGAGCGGCGCAGGTTGGAGCCGTCCTCTGGATGACATGCTCTGCTTTGTTGGCAGCGACACACCTGTGTTCGGGCTCTTTCAGGCTTGGCCATTCAGTGTGACTGATGTGTTGCTGTAGAAGGACTTTAAATTTTGCTGGGCATTCCAGAAATTTCTAGATGGCCTGTCAGTCTCACGGTCCTCCCTCTGTCTACAAGTCGTGCACAGGCCTGTTCTGGTGGGAGTTCCATTGTTGACAGTCCCTGCATCTCTGACCCCGGGTGCCTTGGTGGAGAGCGAGAATACTGTCGCCGTGGAAAACCGCCCGCCCCTCTCCCTTCTCCACGCTCCCAGATGCCATGCTACGCAGCAAGCCTGTCTGATGGGCACTGAACGCTCCTGCCCCAGGGGCACGTGGACAGCTGGGGCTCCATGCAGGAGCAACTTTGGCATATCTGCAGATACGTCATGGTGCTTGTGGACCAGCCACACTGTAGACGCTGCTGGCACAGGTGGAGAGACAGAGAAGGTGGCTGCTGGCTTGGCACACAGTCCTGCACTGAGGCCTTGGTGTCAGGAGGACTGATGGATTCATGCCCCGAGCAAGGAGATGGCCCTCCCATCAGTGGGCTCCTCTGCGGCGTGCAGCCACTTTCCACGGGGAGGTGAGGAAGAAGCATGGTGATCACACGTGGTTACGGTTCTTGTCAAGTGCTGCCCTTGGGCAGCGGAACACACACGCCCAGCAGCCACTGGTGCTTCCACAGCAGCGCCGCGCAATGTGCCAGGGCCGTCAGCACGCAGACCCCGCACACACCCCTGTGCGGCAGGTCCTGCAGCGCGTCAGACGCTGACTGGCAGCAGTGCAGGTCTCCCTCGTCTCTCCCCTCCCCACAGCCCTTCCTTCATGGTCGCTTGGCCTGGGACAAGACCTACAGGCTTGCTGCCCCTCCTTCTTGCCCTCAGCTCAGTGATGCCTGGTACCAGCTGGCCTTCTGAGTCTCTCTGCCTCAGTTTCTCACCTGTTCACTGACGGTCACAATGGCACCACATTAGGACTGTTAAGGACTGAATGAATCACTGCAAGTGAAGCCCCAGAGCTGGCCGTCTGTGCCTTGGCTGTGGTAACGGTATTGCAGTCAACCCTCTCTGGATATGAGTGAGTCCGCCTCAGTGGGACCTCCAGCCACTTCCCAGTGTCAGATCCGCTTGTCCTTCCTCATCATGCCTCCCTGACTGCAGTGCTTGGGACTCTCCTCCCTCCTCTCAGCAGCTCCAGGGTCTCTTGCAAGGGGCTTCTGAATAGGAATTATGTAATCAGGAAGGCTCAGGGCGCCTCTGGCAAAGTGGATGAAGGGGCAGTTGCGCAGTGGTTACTGTCGGGAGGGGCCCACTGTGAGAGGGTGAGGATGGGAATAAGTGCGTGTCTCTGAGGTATTTGAGAGGTCTGCCAACATGACCCGATGACCACCTGGAATGACACAGCAAAGGAGGCGGCACTGGGGTTCCACTGCCAAGTTCGTGAAGCCATGAACACCTGGCTGGAGTTGTGTCCTGGGCCATCAATCAGTGGTTCTGGGAGGGACCTTTGCTGGGCTGGGACAGACATTTGTGCGGTCAAACTTATAAATGTCCTCAGTAGCTAAGGAAAGGTCACCAGCAGTGATAAAGACTGGAAGCAGAGAGAGGGACTGAGTCTTAGGAGACCCTTCTCTGGGCAAGATGAGCCATGCGTTCGTTACCCACAAACTGGGCAGGCGGTGACCCACCAGGGTCTCCAATCTGACACGTAAGCTGAATGCCAAGCAGCCAAGCCCTTCTAGTGGCCAACGTGCCCTCTTCTTCCTAACAGCAACGTCCACCCATTGAAAGAGCCATGTGGCAACACCACATCCAGCCTCTCCTTGGCCACCTTTCCTCCCAAGGCCAGATGCTGCCCTCAGACAAGGCCTCTGTCATAGGGAGGTCGGCGTGTCTGTCTCACGTAAATAAATCTGAGAAGTTTGGAATTTGCCATAAGTCATCAGCAGACATATATTTGTTCCTTCCTACCTGGCAGTGAGGTGGGAAAGGAGTGGGCAGGCATCTGGGGCTCCTGGTTGTCCATGTCACCGTGACCGCATGCAGCTTTTTTCAGTTGATGGTGACTGTGTCAGTGCTGCTTCTACCTGTGTTCCAGGGAAACTCCAACAACATAGCCACCGTGGACATCTCAGCGGGCTTTGTGGGCCTGGACACCTACGTGGAGGTCCCAGCTATGTTCCTGACCGCGTTTGCAACGTTTGCAGGACCCGTGCTGTGGGCCAGCCACTTAGTGAGCTTCCTGAACTCAGAAACTAGCAGGTGAAGCTCTTCTTTGTCTCTTAGAACAAAATCTGATAGCAGGTTGACAATTTAAAGAGAGTACCTCATTCTAGATACAGGGTTCTAAACCCTAAGGGCCTAAAAATCTTCATGCATTCTCTTTTCCTTAAATAAGAATGAACTATCCGCAGCATGTGAGCCAGAGGCAGGTGCAGGTCAGGTCTGTGGCCACTCAGGCCCTGTGTCGGAATGATGGGGAGGCTGTGCAGGCAGCCAGCTTCCTCTGCTCTCTTCCAGCCTATACCATGATAGGGTTTCCAGGGGCCCTTCTCAGTTTCTTTGCTTGCTGGTGACCTAGTTGGCCACCCTTTGGGGTACAAAGACAAGACATGCTCTCACCTCCAGGACCCCTGCCACAGACAGGAACCTGCGCAGGCCTGAGGGGATGCCCTCAGTGGGTGCACACTCTGTGGCTATGCCCTGCCGCCGAGAGGGCCCCTCAGGCGCCACCTGGTGCTCCACCCCTCTGGCCAGCCCACAGGGCAGCCTACCCCACCCTCCTGCCCACCGTGCCCCTCCATGCTTCCTTATTTGTTTATGCATTGCCCCCCCCCCCCCAGAAAGAAGGCTTCATAAGGCAGGGGCTTCACAGTCTATGTGCCACAGTATCCTCAGTGCCTGGGTCCAGCCTGGCAGAGAGCAGCCTGAATGGTATGTGGGCTGCCTGATTCTGCACTTTAAATTTTTTTTAATGTTTTATTTATTTTTGAGAGAGAGAGAGAGACAGCATGAGCAGGGGAGGGGCACAGAGAGAGGGAGACACAGAATCTGAAACAAGCCTCAGGCTCTGAACTAGCTCTCAGCACAGAGCCCGACATGGGGCTCTAACTCAACGAACCGTGAGATCATGACCTGAGCCTAAGTCGGACGCTTAACAGACTGAGCCACCCAGGCGCCCCTGATTCTGCACTTTCAATAGGCCCGAACTTTCCCTTCTATAAAACAGTGTGATGGTATGGACTTCTGGGGTGTGGGGCCTATGTGAGGAGGCCCACGGGTGCTAGAGGAGCAGCCCTGAACCTGCTGGGGTTGTGCAGGACAGCTGCCCAGAGAAGAGCGTGTGGGTAGAAGTGATCACGGCCTGTTGAGGGAGCAGGAGAGGAGCATGTGCAAAGGGACGAGGCCACGGGATGGCACGCAGGTAGAAACAGACAGAGTATGTTTCCTATGGGGGCTGATGGGGCTGCTGGAGAACCCAGCAGGAAGGAAGGATAGGCACCAAGGCCCAAGATGGGGAGCCGGTGAGGGCACAGAGGGGACAAGAACTGTGAGCACGAGGGGCCAGGCACCCTTTGGCCCCTGAGTGTCTGTTGGCTTCTCTCACTGGACAGTGAGCACAGCGGGGGGGATCAGAGCGGCACCAGAGAGTGATGCCTGGTTGACAGGCCTGAGGAGCCCCTTTGCGGAGCACATGTGTGCACACACTCCTCTGTCTCCCAGCCTTTGCTCCCCGTACACAGAACTCCTCTTTGTTCACCTTTCATGTCCAGACCCTTCCCAGTATGAGCATGGCACCCCCAAGACTCCCCTGAGCACACAGATCGTCTCTGGTGGGTCTGCTTGCTTCCCACCTGGAGCTCTGGTAATCCCGGGTCCGTGCTCCCACACGAAGCAGTGCTGACGTGAGTCCTACCCGGTGACGATGCCCGTGTGTGTGACGAAGGCTGCACTTCAGGAAGAGTGGGCAGTGGTGATGTGCGGCATAGACTGACCACAGAAAGGCTACTTACAGTCATCGCAGTGTTTAAGGGGAGGTGTCAGAACGAAAACTTGTCTTTTTTTTTAATCTTTGTTTATTTTTGAGAGAGTGGAGGAGGTGGAGAGAGAGAGAGAGAGAGAGAATCCCGAGGAAGGCTCCTCGCTGTCCGTGCGGAGCCTGACACAAGGCTTGAGTTAACGAACCATGAGATCATGACCTGAGCCAAATTAAGAGATGGACACTTAGACAGCTGAGCCACCCAGGCGCCCCAGAGCTGGAACTTGTCACTAAGCAGAGCGTGGAAAGCCTGGCCTCCGAGTGTTGGCAGGGTGAATGAGCAGTAGCATTTGCCGAATGATGGGACTTGTCGTTTTGGAACACATTCTCAGGAAATTGCCTTAAAAAATAGCTTACATTTATGTAATGATTGTGTTGAGGGTTTGAAAAGAGAGGGAGGACATGCAGGTGCCTTGAGGGCTTTTTCATGTTTGAGATGCTCTCTCCTCTCCGCTGTTCATCTGCTTAGCAAATGCTCGCAGGCCAATGTCCCCAGACCAGACCAACCAGATGCTTCACTGGACAGCACAAAGCAGAGCTCAAAACTTGTATCTCATCCTGTGTGATTTTCTTTTCCTTGTGTTTCATAATATTTGCAATGTATAGTAGTACATGCACATAATTTTTAAACAGAACTGCAAAAGCTGGGGGTGCACTCTTTAAAACTAATTTGCAGGCTGTGGCCCTGGACAGTGACAAGGCAGCCACTTGCAACTGTTGTCCCCTCAGGCAAGCTCCTACCCACCAGAGTGACCAGATACAGATTTGGAGGGTGGGGGTGGGGCAGGAACAAGAATTACCACGGTCATTTTCTAAGTAAAAATATTGATTACATTTATGTTCGTGCCTTATATGATACAGAAGTGGCAGATACTAATACATATTTCCCTTTTTATTAACAGTGGTTCCGCACTGAGTCATGCTTGCTTCTGCTACGCACTGATCTGTTCTTTTCCAGTTTCTGCGTATATCATTTTGGTGACATCCCTGCGTTACCATTTATTTATATGGAGTGTGTTTTCTCCAAAACTTCTTTATGAGGGAATGCACATCCTCATCACAGCTGCCGTCTGTGTATTCTTCACAGCCATGGATCAGACCAGCACAACGTCATAGACACTGGGGAAACAATATATTTTTAAAGTCTATTCACTTCATGCATTTGAGTAATGAAAAAACTCTGTTTAAATGCAAAAACATTCTAAAAAATATTGTGAATTCTACAAAGTTGATTAATAGCTTCAGTTTCTTCACTGCTATACTTGAATTTAGACTAAATAGTAACTGGTTCAAAAGATCACTTTAAAATACTTAGTTTGAACATGAATCATATTCCCTTGTTGACAGGAGCTCCATAAACTTCTGAACTTCTCATTTCCTCTTGGTAAGTTAAGATTTGACTCAAATACATGTGTTGTTGTGGACTTCAGAGAGTGTGGGCACTCACCCATGCCAGAGTTGGCCTCACAGAGCTCAGACCCCATCATGACCCTAGAAACCACTGGAAGTCTCCAGGAGCTCTGGTCATCGCGGGCGGGATTTATCTGTCAACATGAAGACATTTCGAAACCTATTCATTGAAAATAAAGATGCAAATTCCGTCCATGTTAACATAGCAGATTTTTAAGGAAAATAATTATTTTTCCAAAAGAAAAATACATACTGAGGAGAATAGCATTGTTTTATGTTTTTGCAAATCTCTTTAGTGTCTGATGGTTAGATTCTGCAGTCAGTCTGTTGTGATATGTGTGTTTGGTTGAAGTAGTCACACACAGTTGGGAGAGGGAGGAGTATTGTCCTTCTTCTAATCCTTGTGGATATTCTTTTTCAGACTCCATTGAAACTTGACAGGGGTGCCTGGGTGGCTCAGTCGGTTGAGCATCCAACTTCGGCTCAGGTCATGATCTCACGGTTCGTGAGTTCAAGCCCTGTGTCGGGCTCTGTGCTGACAGCTCAGAGCCTGGAGCTGCTTCAGATTCTGTGTCTCCCTCTCTCTGGCCCTCCCCTGCTCGCTCACTCGCTCACACACACACACAAATAAATAAAAACATTTAAAAATTGTATTTAAAAAAACTTGGCAAACAATGGTTTCTTAAAGGTTAATTGGAGAAAAAGCAAGTGCATGTAAAACAGGAGAAGGCCTATTAAGGTCTGCGCCTGAGTTAACAGAAGTACCTGGTTAAGAAGTTCTGGGTCTGTGTAAGATATAGTTGGGGGAGCTGGGTGAACTGTATGTGGACCTTTCTGTACTATTTTTGCAACTCTTGTGAAATTTAAACTATTTTAAAATAAAGGTTATTTTGTGAAAGAAAAACTTCCAGTTCCTTGGGGACTAAGTCAGTTAAGCGTCTGATTCTTGGTTTTGGCTCAGGTCATTCCTTATCTCACGGTTTCATGAATTCAAGCCCCGCACCAGTCTCTGTGCTGACAGTGCAGGGCCTGCTTGGGATTCTCTGTCTCCCTCTCTCTCTGCCCCTCCCCCGCTTGCACTGTCTCTGTCTCTCTCAAAATAAATAAACTTAAATAAATTTAAGAAATAGAAGATCAGTTGCAACATGGAATCTGAAACCGTGTCAGTGAAATTCTATGCTCTGCTTTATTAAAATCCACTGATCAGGGGCACCTGGGTGGCCCAGTTGGTTAAATGTCCGACTTTGGCTCAGTTCGTGATTTCACTGTGAGTTCGAGCCCCGCATCAGGCTCTGAGCTGTCAGCACAGACAGCTTCAGATTTTGGAAACTGCTTCAGATTTTATGTTTCCCGTTCTCTCTGTGCCTCTCCCCCACTCATGCGTGCTCTCTCCCTCTCTCCCTCTCTCTCTTTCTGTCTGTCTCTCTCTCACCCTCCCTCTCTTTCTCTCAAAAATAAACATTTAAAAAAATTTTAAAGAAAAACCTTTAAACATTGGAAGTTAACAACAGTAGATACAAGTTTTTGAAAACTCACACATTTTAACTTACATAATGATTCAATATTTGTATATATTGCAAAATGATCAACACAATCAATCTAGTTAACATCCATCATCACAGAGTTACAATTTTTCTTGTGATAAGAGCTTTTAAGATACTCCCTTAGCAACTTTTAAATATATAATATCTTAAACTATAGTCACCGTGCTCCACATTATATCCTCAGGATTTATTTTATAACTGAAAGTTTATACCTTTTGATCCCCTTCATCCACCTCCATTCCCTGACTCTAGCAACCACCAATCTGTTTTCTGTATCTATAAGCTTGGTTTTTTGTTTGTTTGTTTGGGATTCCACATATAAGACAGATCATACAGGACTTGTCTTTCTCTGCCTGACTTAGTTCATTTAGCATAATGCCCTCAAGACCCATCTATGTTGTCACATAGGCAGGATTGTCATGTGTGCATGTGTACACATACATGCCATGTTTTCTTTATCCATTCATCCATCAATGGACACTTTGTCTTAATATCTTGGCTCTTAGGAAAAAAAATGCTATGAATGTGGAGGTACAGGTACCCTTTTGAGTTAGTGCTTTCATTTCCATCAGATAAATACCCAGAAGTGCAATTGGGGGATTATATGGCAGTTCTACTTCTGATTTTTTGAGGAGCCTCCGTATTGTTTCCATAGTGGCCACACAAACTTACATTCCCGCCAACAATGCACAAGGGCTCCTTTTCTCCACATCCTCATTAACATCTCTTTTATTTCTTGTCCTTCAATTTTTTTTTTTTTTGAGAGACAACATGAGTGGGGAAGGGGCAGAGAGCGAGGGAGACACAATCCAAAGCAGTCTCCAGGCTCCGAGCTGTCAGCACACAGCCTGACGCGGGGCTCGAGCCCACAAACCAAGGGATCATGAGCTGAGCCAAAGTCAGATGCTTAACCTACTGAGCCATTCAAGTGCCCTGTTTCTTGTCCTTTTGATGATAAAGTGTTTCTATTATAATGTACAGATATTTGATATTTAATTTACAAGTATTTTAAGATTTTTAAAATCACTTTCTAAAATTATTTTTTCTAGTTATAGGACATCTCCCACTTAATAATGCATCCTGAAAAACCATTGTTTTCATGCTAAAACACTAACTGGGGATCTATTTTCCATTATTTTAAATAGAAAACCATGAGGATGCAATTCGTACCCAAGCCCTTAGCCAGTTTCCTAAAACGTAGCCATACATAGCAAAATGTCTACATGTAGGTACATGCTATCATGTTAGGATGCAAAATTCTTAAAATTGGTTTCTGGTCATCAAATAGTTAATACAGTCATGAACAACAGTTGCTCTGTGTCTTTTTTCCTAGCTTTTTAAAATAAAAACTTAGAATCACTTTAAGCCTTTTTACCTCTCCAAAATAAGCATTTAAATCTGTAAACTTCTCTGTAAGGTTTATTTTCACTGTATTTACAAAATTTCACGTGCTGCATTTTTATTATTATTCCGTCTGAAATATTTCCTGCTTCATTTTTTGGCCTAGCAGTTGGTCCATCTTGATGAACATTCCATGTGCAATAGAAAAAAAATGTAGTTTCAGCAATTATTTAGTGTGATATCTTACACTTGTTGATTAAGTCAAATGGTTGTCAAGCAGACCTATCCCTACTGATTTGCTTGTCTACTTATTCTTTCAATTACTGAGAGGATAGCTAAAATTTCCAACTATGATTGTTGATCTATGTGTTTCTCTCTTAGATCTGTTAGGTTTTGCTTCATGTATTTTGCATTTTTATGCACTAACAATGAGGTAGCAAAAAAGGTAAATTAAGAAAACAGTTCCATTTCCAATTGCACACACACACAAATAAAATACCTACAAGTGAATTTGGTGAGGGAGGTGAAAGACCTGTAATCTAAGAACTGTAAGACATTTGGGGCACCTGGGTGGCTCAGTTGTTTACACATCCGACTTTGGCTCAAGTCATGATCTCGTGGTTTGTGAGTTCGAGCCCCACATCGGGCTCTGTGCTGCCACCTCAGAGCCTGGAGCCTGCTTTGGATTCTGTGTATCCCTTTCTCTCTGCCCCTATCCTGCTCGCACTCTCTCTCTGTCTCTCAATAATAAATAAAAACTTTAAAGAAAAAGAACTGTAAGACATTGAGAAAGTAAGTAAAAACGCAAAGGAAAAGATATACCATGCTCATGGATCAAAATAATACTGTCAAAATGTTCATATTGCCAGCCCCCAAAAATCTATGTATTTAATGCAATTCCTATCAAAATATCAGTTGTATTTTTCACAATACTAGAAATCCTCACATTTATATAGAACCACAAAGGACCTCAAAAAGCCAAAGCAAAGTTTTAAAAATCAAGAGTATGCTACTGGCACAGAAATAGACACATAAATCAATGGAAGAGGATAGAGAGCCCAGAAATAAACTCAAGCTTATATGGTCAATCTATCACGAACAAGGTAGGAATATACAATGGGACAAAGATAGTCTCTTAATAGATGAAGTTGGGAAAATGGACAGCTACATGCAAAAGAATGACACAGGACCACTTCCTTACACCATACACAAAAATAAACCCAAGATGGATTTAAAACCTGATTGTGAGACCTGAAACCAAAATTCCCAGATGAGAACGTTGGCAGTAATTTCTTTATCGGCTGTAGCAATGTTTCTCTGGACATGTCTTCTGAGGCAAAAGAAACAAAAGCAAAAATAAACTATAGGGACTATAGTCCCTATAGCACCAAACTAAAAAATTTTGCACAGCGAAGGAAACCATCAACAAACAGGCAAGCTACTGAATGGGAAAGGATATTTACAAATGATATATCTGATAAGGGATTAATCTCCAAAAAATATAAAGAATCATACAGAGGCAAGATGGCGGAGAAGTAGGGAGCTCCGTGCATTTCACTCGACCCCATCTCTCAACAGAGAAGGCCTGAAGCCATAGGACACTGAACCGCAGGAGTTTGGGGAGAAAAAGAGACCGAGTACACTGGAATGGCAACCTCATAAGTGCATGAGTGCGATCTGGGAAAGATAAAAACAGGCCAGGATCCTGAGACATGGAGGGAGGGGAGGTAGCCTCCTTCGCAAGCAGCCGTGGTGAGTCGAGGGGAAGAGAAAGAGCAGCTGAAACTGCTCATAGAACTGTCCCTGGAGAAGAGAAAAACCTTGGCTCGGGACGGAGAGTGTTCTTAGTTCTAGCTGGGGTGCTGACTTTGAACTGGGTGCACCAGTCGCAGGCTGTACCAGAAGAAACTGTGCCACTGCTCTCCCGGCCCAATCCCTGGAGGTGGGGAAGTAGCCAACCTGCAGAACTGTGTTTCCGGCAGTGTCAATAAAGCGCGCAGACTGGGACCTGGAAAGGAGGCGGGGCTTGGGACATAAAACACGACCAAGTTGGCTGCACCCGAGGCACAGGGAGATTGGACCCAAGGGAGTGATTTGCAGCTCTTGATCCCAGAGGGGACTTGGGCGCTGCCATTTTACTCCCTACAACCACCAAGGCAGGAACTCAGGGAGCAGCTGTTGGGACCAAAGTGGAGGCTAAGACCCGCCTACACCAAACCATGCCCATCCCCGCTAGAGAGCTCCTTTTTTTATTTTTTTTTTTTCTTTTTAATTGGAGCCAGGGGCAAGGCCAACATGGATGTACTGCTGTGATTAATTCTAGATCAATTCTTTCTTTTCAGATATATTTTCTCCTTGTCTCATTCCTATCCCTCCCCTCTGCTGGACTGAGCACTCTGGTCATTGGTTTGCTTAAACAGTCATATTTAATCCATTCTCTAGATGTATATTCTACACCTCCACCACTACCTTTCTATCTCTCTCTCTCTCTCTCTGGAGTAATCAGATTATAGTTTCTCTGAGTAACATTATCTTCGTTTCTTTCTCCTCGCCTCCTACCATATTCTCTTCTTTCTCTCAATGAAGCCTCTTAGTCTCTCTGCCTGATCATTGTCCAATTTCAC